TTGGAAAGTCGAAATCAAGTTCACAGCTCAAATCAGACGCCACTGGAAAGCCCATGTGAGAGACGTTCAAATGTCCGAACAAAGTTCCCCCAAAGTCACTAAAGAGTTGCTCAGACGCCATTCTGTGTTTGTGCCAAGAGCAGGTAGTCTGCTGCTGGTAGCCTACTGGTGCTGCCAGTCTGGTACTGGCAGCGTACTGACCTGCTTGAGGATCCTGTAGAAGGGCGTGATGACATTGTTGAGGAAGGCGTACTCGCCCCCCGTGCCCATCATGCGGCTGTGCTCCGCGGCTGTCTTCTGCATCATCCCCGCCAGCTCACTCGCCATCTGCCCAAGGTGGTGGTGGCCATGGGGGATGGGGATGGAAAGACGTGTGCGTGACTTGGTGGTATAAGATAGTTTGACTCAGTTGTCACTTGAAGGAAGGTTGTGGAGAGGCCATGAATTTGTGGAGAAGTTGAACAAGAAGGGGGGAAGAGGGAGGGGGAAACGGGGTTGTGGGAGGGGCACAGGGGAAACAGGGCTTCGCCTTATCAAGGTTTATGTACTGTGACAATCCTGGTTGACTGACTGTAACCAAGAAACCAGCTGGAAATAGGGTAAGAGAGGGCAGGAGGCATGTATTGTCCCAGAGAGGGGATGAGCATAGCAGCGAGCGCTCAACCAATGTAGGAAAAAGCTTCACGCTGTCACAATTACCTGGTGTCATAATTACCTGGTGAAAGAGGTAGCAGAGGCACTCTGGGAGGAATCGGACGTTGGCTGCCTCGCCCCATATGAGCAGGAAGAGGCACGTGTGCAGCATTCGGTGCTCAGCCCTGCAGTGCATACGCACACACAACATACAGGCACACACCACACCACACCACACCACACCACACCACACCACACCGCACCACACCGCACCACACCGCACCACACCACACCACACCACACCACACCACACCACACCAACACCGCAGTCACGGCCATCCAACGTCAGGACCAGCCAGACATGTGGACCAAAGCAAGCCACGTCAGTGCCGTTGAGGATTTAGGCTCTTTGTTTCTTGGGAGGGGTGGGGGGTTTTGAGTCCTACACCCGAAACCCGGAACCCTGGAGGATATATATGGCACGATCAGAGATGCAAGAGTCAGATTTCAGACGACGTGTTTTGACATGCGATGGCAAATATGCGAGATTCTCGTACCAGATATGCAAATATGCGAGAGGAAGAAGTGGGTGTGGGGGGGGAGAGGGAAGGGGGGGGAGGGATGAGGGGGGGGGGGGGGTTTGGGGGAAGAGGAAGGAGGGAGAGGGGAGCGGAAGGAAAGGGAGGAGGGTGGATTTCAGCAGGGCGAGATCAGGGGTGCGTACGTGAAGTAGGGGATGTCGACGTGGAGGTACTGTGCCCAGCGAAGGAAGTTTCCGAGCACCTTTGACGAAACGGAATCAAGGGCCAGGTTCATTGCCTGGTGGATGAACGGATGGGGGCCAGGGTTTCGGGTTGTGCACCAGGGTTTCAGTTCAGAGCACTCGGAAGTACTAGGACGCACGGATTACTGTGTGCGCAGTCCGCACCCCGACCTGACCCCTGACTCTACAGCTGCCAGGGTGTCATGCATACGGACGCGAATTTTCACAGCATTGGTGGACATGAAAGCCGCAAGACTGTAGAACCCAAACCCTGAGGATACCAGTGCGGCCCCGCTCTGGATATTGACGTGATGACTCACAGCAGCATCATCGGACATGGAAGCAGCAATGGGCGTCCCCTTCTCATCGTACGTGCGGCTGTTGGCCAGCAGCAGCACTATGTGCTCCCTCTGGTTCCGCACGTTGTCCTCCTGTGGTGGTGTGGCAGAGCAGCGCACAGCACAGCAAATCAGGGGGTCGGTGGACCGAGGATGTTAGGGATTGGATGGGATAAAGGGGGAGGAAAGGGAGCCGGTTGTTGCTTCCAAGTTGTGACACACAAATTTGAGGATAGAAGGTGAAGAACCGTCACACAAACAGGAACGCCAGAGAAGTTGCAGCCGTTGCAGGAACAAACAGAGATGACATCACGATAATGAGAGCAGGTGCACTGACTTGGAAGCCGAAGACGAATTGCAGGTAGTGCAGCATGTCCTTGAAGCGGCCTCGGTTCGGCACTCCTCTGAGGTCATGGAGCAGCGCAATCGCTCCCCCCACCCGCCTCTTCCACTGCTCACGCCAACACAGTCACGCATTTAGACGTTAGACGTCTCCAGTGTCAACAGATGCATTGGATGCAACACAGCAGATGCTATTGTGGTAATGAGAGGCCAATGTGGTAACCAAATACTACCACGAATATAGCTCTACTCCATTCCAAGCTAGCCAGAGGAGTGAGGTCAGCCGGTGGTTACAACATATAATGTGAGACTCACAAAATACAAGCATGGGTGTTGGGTTTTTTACCAAAGGAGCATCAGTGGGAATGGGTGCGTCCAGATCGATCATGTTGAAGTTCTGGCGGGTGAAGATTTGCGTCTTGGCAGCAGCAGCCATCTTATCCTCCCGAATTTCCTGAAATTGGTCATGAACAGAGGAGAATTAGTCAAGAGCCTGGTTAACTGACTAAAGCCATGCATGCCACGATCGAGTCCACTCTCCCATTTAAATTTCAATTCTTGTCCTCCAGGCCCTATTCCTTGCTCCCTCCTCACAAAATATCAATCACGATTTACTGCTGCTCGGTGACTATCAGATCTCTCCCTGCTGAGTCGCATTCACCAATCACTGTTCAAGGCTTACCTGTTGTACTTGCTTGCGCTCGGATCCCGTGACCGTCTGTGAGAGGCCCTCGGTCACCTCCATGAGGACCCGTTCCGTCTTCCACGCCTTCCCCAACTCCTCTCTGCATATCCCACACGCATCCACCCCATTTCGTCATGAAAGCCGCATGAACAGAGCGTGGTGAACGCAACGACTGGCTCAAACGACACGAATTCTCGGTGGAGAAAGGGAGTTGTTGGACAGAAGCGCAGAAGCGCAGAAAGAGAAGCTGGAGCTGCTGTACAAAAACGCGAGGCTAGAGTGTCAGACGGAACGCACTTATTATTCTCGGGATCCATCTCCAGCCCGCGGACATAGTCTCGGTACGCGGTGTAGAACTCATGGACCATGTCCATGTCCCTGCTCGGGTCCGCCGCAATGTCGCTCTCCTGCATCAACCGCAGTCACGCATTAAAGCGCACATTTCGGCGAATAACGCACATTACGGTTTCACGTATTCTTGACATGATACGCATCTAGGTGTTATTCGTGCACATCCCGTTTTCCAGCCATACAACAGCAACGTTACTCGTTCCCCTTCCGCTTTCCAATCATATGTTGAAGGCATGGACAACTCACGGGCAAGAGAATGTGCAACGCCGTGACGAACTGGAGCACTCCGCGGCCTTGCATGTTGGGATCAAGAACCATCGCCTTCTTGTAAGCAGCATCGAGAACTGAAATGCGGGAAATGGGAGCGCGGAAGGTGTGGATAAGCGTGGCGCTGATTATCCAACCATCAAATACTAACATGGGAGAAAGCTGTACACAGTAAGCAAGCGTGGAAATCATGTTACAAGTACAAACAAAGAATAAATCTATAGCTGGACACACGACAGACACTTAACCAACAGGTACGCTCAGGAACCATGAAAATTTGGACACTTACTAAGTCGAGAGATGCGTGGATGTTCGGCTTCTAGGTCCTTCGCCGCTGCGAGGTAATCAGGTATGTTGGACCTCTGAGCTAGTGTCGGAGGCACAATATTGAGGCCATCGATCTGTCCTTCCGGTAAGACGGACTGGAAAAATACAGACTGTCGCTGTCTCGCTCGCGATACAGACTGCTGCGCGGCTTCAAGCACTCTCCGCCAGTTATCTACAACTGGAGGTGGAATATCTTCCGCCATTAGGACTACCCTATCCTGTGAATGCTTCGTTCGTACTACCTACGAAATGGCGTCGAGTACATCAACGCATTACGCCATAGATGCCAACACACGAAATATTTTAAGCTATACAAAGGCTTCACGGATTAGATTACTTCTAGCAGATACGTCCCGCTGATACACAAGGAATCAGCCTGATCATGGAAGTGGAAAATGAGCCGTGTTGTGTGGAGTTGACCAGAAGCAGGGAGGAGGTCTGGGGGATTGATTGGAAAATCCTCCAATCCTGATTCCTGACTCTTGACTTCAAAGGCTCTGACAAGGCAGCAACAATTATGAGGAACATATTCATGGGCAGACACGAAACATTTTTCCAGTTGTAGGGGTCTAACGCGATTGGCTGCTATGAACATCTCTGAACGCGATCATAGCCGACAATGGTGCTTGGCAGCTTGGGCAAAACTCAGAGTGTTGTGGAGGAGAGCGGGAAGTCCGCGGAACGCGTTCCAACCAATGCAAGAACGATGTGCAAGGGAGCGCAAGGCACGGCAGGCAGCCCTCACCTTGAGAGCTCCAGGTTTGCCAGGGATTGGAATGTCGGTCACGGCGAATTTCAGATGACCGGAAGCTACCTTTTGCCCCGCCGTCGATGCTTTTTCTTCCAGACCGATCAGGGAATACGGGTAGCGAACACGACTGCTAATCACACTCACTTTCCACATCATCGATATTGTCGTCCACGTGACAGCATTCGACTTGCTAATGTGCTGGTTATTGAATCGCTTGCGTTTTCGCATGCGTCGTCTCTTTCGTTAGCGTCGGGTTCATCAGATTGTGTCTCACTGGGGCTGGAACAATCAGTTCTCCGCTGCCAAGCTCTCATCACACCAAGAACACCGAGAACACCGAGCTCATTTCGCCAACACCAGATCACCATTTTTGTGTCCTCCAGTTTCCACCATTACTTGCTCTACCTCACTGCTTCACGGCGACACGGTTACAGACTGGATAGTGATTGCTATCAGTGGTCCTCGGGACTTTCTTTTTATTTGTGCCAATGAGAAATCAATCATAGCTCTTCCAACGTGTAGTTCGCACCGAATCTCGTCAAAATGCCTCCACACGACTTAGGAGGTCCTTCAGGAGGAAATATTCCATCGACTGGTGCACCGCATGAACCGAAACACCCGATATACAACATAGTACCCACCGATCCTGATCACTGGCCACAAGCGAAAGATGGCAATCCGAACCCTCTGGCTCCCGAGGTGAGCTCCGCGAGCACACTGAATGTGACTTGTGCGATGTGGTGACGGATCCAGATGGAATGTTGGGGAGACGTACCGGAAGGGAACCCACCAGCCGTACTGAACGCCGACGCTTTTTCATGGGCGTTTCGCATAGTCTCCTGAATACAGCCTAATGGAGTTTTATTGCGAGTCAAGCATGCGGTTTTCGGCTCCGAGCGCCGTTTGTTGCCGTGACCTTGCACGCAATGCAAAGCAACCTGTCAAGTGCTTATGGTCTGGCTCCAATAGACCGCTGATTGCCGTCGTCCGCAAATAAATCAACCCATATTACCGTCACGAAAATAATCATTTCAGGTGCGAGCTGCAGTGGGGGCTCTTCGAAGGGTCGGTGCGAGCTTGGGATGGCCCGACGACCGAGGCAATCCGCCAACCGACGTCTTGGACTGCCTTCAAAACGCCTTCAGCTTCCAAGTGAGCTGCGCTTCTGACAGCTGAATGGCTTCCTCAGTCTAGTCACTGATACGCACAATTTTCGTACTGACTTCCAACGGTACATCATCTTCAATGTTGCTTAAACGATCTGGTTAGGTTCACTGTTGACAGCACTGACCTAATAATGCTGCTGAAGACCTGGTGACGGTACAGATATTTGACATGCTTGAAGGATTTGCGTTCTACCTCTGTCTGTGTTCTGTGTTCTGTGCTCTTATGCTCGCATGCAGTCTGGTAACGTTATCAACCAGAGGGAGCATCTGGTTCTTCTGCTAGCCAACACTCAGATGCGAATTCGGCCGTTGGATCCCCTTGAAGCGGAGCCTCTGGTACGCTCACATGCATCTCGCGAGGTGGATTTGATTTGCCCAGCGTTGCTTCATGCGAAGCGTTGAAATGACTACGTTTGCTGTGTCTTGACGCATGGATTTTAGATGAACCGGGCCATCAGGGTACAGCTAGCCGATGGGGTTACTCTTGGCAGTCCGCGAACACTGAACGTATAGTATGTGTGAATGAGCAATGGATCCTTTCGATGACTAGAGTTGTTTTGCAAGGCATGTCTGATTAAATTTCATGCAACATTTCATCCATCCACTGAGGAAGCTGCCACGTTTTTCCCTGCTAACTCCTCTGCTGCAGCTTGACCCGAACGTGATCACGCTGGTGTGCGACCAGCTGTTGAGCAACTACAAGTCCTGGTGCACATACGTTGGCAAGAAAACCAGCATCATGTCAGTCAGTCTCCGTATTGTCACGTTATGTTATGTCTTTCGCGTGTCACGTGTTAACATCCGTCACCCCCTCAAGGCATGCGGATTTACCTTCCACAAATTTCGTGAGTTTCTGCTGGGGCTTGTCCATGCTAATGCACTCTTTCTTACAAGCAGCAAGTTATTTCATATCCCTCCATTGCTGTTTCAAGGCCTCACCTTATATCGATCATGGCTCTGGGTCCCATTTCCTGCCACTCTCCCTGTGGCTTCTCCAATCCAGTGACGACTCGGCTCTGGTTGGTCGCAAGAGGACATCCCCCCCTACAGGCAGCACCGATATAGTCTATTGCTCCCTCTTCCTGCTCATATGGGGCGAGGCAGCCAACGTCCGCTTCCTCCCGGAGTGCCTCTGCTACATTTTCCACCATGTGAGAGCCTGCTTTCCACCTTCATCATGTGAACGCATGTCCCAGTTTGTTTCACACCTTCCTCCACTGCCAAGTGAGAAAGTTCAGCTAATGAGAAATCTCGTCTCACAGTCACAGATCTCTCTGTGGGGTCGTCGTCACCATGCGGCCCTTACACCCAAAGTTCATGTTGCTACAGAAGCCAACAAGCGTCCGTTTTCTTTCCACTTAATCTCCTCTTTCTCCCCTCCCCCTCCCCCTTGCCCTCCCAGCTCGCAACAGAGACGAACGAGCTGATGACCCAGTCCGCCAGGGCTCTTTCTCGCGACCGCAGCATTCCCAGCCAGCCGTACGGGTTCCTCAACACCATTATTCAGCCGCTCTACAATGCGATTAAAGGAGTAAGCCCTGTGAACTTTGTTTCAGAGGCTGTGTACTCTGTAATACCACAGCAGTTAATCGTTGGGAGTCAATCCAACTACTGTGTTGCTTGTTTCCCCTCCCTTTCTCCCTTTCGTCGTTTCTCTCATCTTTCATCTTGTGCATGGCACTCAGCACTCAAACCACGCACGTGTCTCCCATCTCCCCTCTCCCATCTCCCATCTCCCCTCTTCCCTCTCCCCTCTCCCCTCGCCCCCCTCCCCTCCCCCTATACCAGGAGGCGGACAGCAATGTGGGTGGCAAGCTGCCGCACGCCAAGTGGCGCAACTACGACGACTTCAACGAGTTCTTCTGGTCGCCACGCTGCTTCGACCGCCTCTCGTGGCCGCCCAACCAGTCTGCTGTCTTCTTCATCCCCCCGGTATTGCCGCCTCCTTCCTTCACCCTGTCTGCCTTGCTGTCCTCCCATCCCGCCGGTACTTCTGTCTTGTTGTACCACCGCTATAACCAACCCTCCGGTAAGCTGCTTTTTTAAGCACGACACCATGCTGGTGGTGCTCTCTCCATTGAATCGCACATTCTCGTGTGTCCTCCTGTCGCCATCCTCAGCATGTTTAACGCACGCATCGCTGTCTATGTCATGATGTGTCTTGCTCTGCTCTGCTCCTGTGCACCTACGTGCAGAACAAGACGGGCCACGAGGGTGGCAAGACGGGCTTTGTGGAGCAGCGCACCATCCTCAACATGTTCCGCAGCTTCGACCGCGTCTGGATTCTCCTCATCTTCGCCTTCCAGGTGAGTGCTTCTCTTGGCACTTCCCATTTTTGAGGCGCCTCAAGAAGAAGTCTTCTCATCTTCGCCTTCCAGGTGCTTATCTTGGCATTTCCTCTGGCCCACCCATCCCATCCCCACGCATGTCATGGCCTTACCTTTCCGCTGCTTTGCTTCCTTGCTCACCTCCCACCCCCCCTTTTCCCCCTTCTCCCCGCTTCCTCCCCGCCCTTTCTGATTCCACTGTCGGCTGCCCAATACCTGCTGCTCTGCCTCTCTTCCTGTGCGCCAGCTGATGTTCATCACGGCATGGAAGGCGGAGGACAGCAACCCCTTCACGTACCTGGCTGGAGACAGGGATACTGTGGCGCTGCTGCTCACCTGTTTCATCACATGGGCCGGAATCAACCTCTTCCTTGGTGAGAAGTGGTGCTGCGCGGTGGTATGTGGTGGTATGCGTTGCCTCTGCGATGCTGTGGAGTAAGAGTGGTGCGGCATGATGAGTTTGAAGTGCATCTTAGAGTGGCTTGTATGTGCTGTATTCAAGGCATTGCAACACGAGTTCTGTCCGTCTCATGGCGCTTCTTTTACTAACCACTGTGCCTGTCTGCATGTCCCACCCACTCTGCCTTCTCTGTACCTCGGCCCCAACTCTATGTCCCTCCCCACCCCCTCGTTGCTCCTTCCACCCCCTTTCTTCCTCTCACCACCATTTCACCTATAGCCCTGGCGGACATGGTGATGGAGTGGCGTCTCATCCCTCCTCCAACATGCGCTTCATCGCTGTCCCTTCCCCCCCATGTCTTCCTCTCCCCTCCGTCACACCCATAGCTCTGGAGGACATGGTGATGGAGTGGCGTCTCATCCGCCGCTCCAACATGCGCTTCAACATTGTCCCTTTCCCCCCCTTTCTCCCTCTCCCCTCCATGACACCCGCAGCTCTGGCGGACATGGTGATGGAGTGGCGACTCATCCGCCCTTCCAACATGCGCTTCAACGTCCGCCTGTTGCTGCGCCTCCTCGTTGCCATCGCTTGGTGCATCGTCTTCACCACCCTCTACCTGTAAGTACCTCTCTCTACTTTCATGTATCACTCTTCACCTGTATGTACCCCTCTTGCCTTTCCATTCCCCCTCCCTCCTCTCATTTGCTCTTACTTCCCTGCACCCACCTTCAGACAACCCAAGTCAGAAACCCTCGCTCCCTGCTTCTCTCCCCCCTCGTCCCACCATTCATGAGAATCCCTCTTCTGCTCTCTCTTCTTCCCTTCTCCTCCCCACGCACCCTCACTCCTCCCTCTCGCAGCATGATGTGGAATGCACGCAAGGCAGCCACCTACTGGTCGCCCACAGCCAACACAGCTCTGTTCACGTTCCTCATAGCAGCGCTCGTCTTCATGACCCCGCACCTGCTCGGCATCCTGCTCTTCCTCACGCCTGAAATCAGCCGCCGCGTGGAGGCCTCCAGCTCCTCCTTCATCCGTATGCTCGTCACCTGCCTCGAGGTGAGATGAGATGTATCCTCGTAGCTCGTCTTCATGACCCCGCACCTGCTCGGCATCCTGCTCTTCCTCACGCCTGAAATCAGCCGCCGTGTGGAGGCCTCCAGCTCCTCCTTCATCCGCATGCTCGTCACCTGCCTCGAGGTGAGAGGGGTGCTCGTCACGTGCCTTGAGGTTATGGAAAAGAAGGGATTTTCAGTTCAACTTAAAGCCTCTGTGTGGAGGCTTCCAGCTCCTCCTTCATCCGCATGCTCGTCACCTGCCTCGAGGTGAATATTTCTTTCTTATTTTTTGGCTAGAGGTGAGGCGCATGCTTGTCACTTGCCTTGAGGTGAGGTTCTAATATCTTGTGTCTCAACCTTCATCCATCCATCTGCGTCTTATCCCTCCATCCATTTGTCGGCTCTATCAGGATGACAACTTTGTGGGCAGGGGAATGCGTGAAGACACATGGGACTCCATCAAGTATGTGCCTGCTCGCCCGCCCACCCACCCACCCACCTGCCTGTCAACAGCCTGCCTCCCTGCCCGCCTGCCTTCTGTCCAGCCCGCCTGCCTGCCGGCCTTCTGTATGCCTGCTGCTGGTTCTTGCACTTGACATTTCATGTGCCTGTGCCTGCGGTTTCCTTGGTGAAGGTCCCCCTGTATGGTCTCTGTCTCTCCTCTCCTGTCCTCTCCTCGTCTCCCACCCAATGCTGCTGGGGTCTGTCTCAGGTACTCCATCTTTTGGCTCCTCCTCCTCGCTGGGAAGTTCGCCTTCAGCTACTTCCTCTTGGTGAGCGAAAGCTGTAGTGGTGTGCCCCTGTCTCTTCGTCCATCTTCTTTATCTCCCTCTTCTTCTCCCCTCTACTGTTTCCTTTCCACCACCCTTCCTCCCAACCCGTTTCGTCTTCTTGATTCAGCTCCACTGTCTCATTCCTTTCTTCCTCTCTCCTCTCACCCTGCCACTGCCCATTTCTCATCGCTTCCTCCTCATTTCTTCTCGCCTTCTCGTCTTCTCCCACACTCACCTTCTCCCCCTCTCCACCTCTCACAATCTCCCCCGCTCCCCCTCTGCCCCTCTCCTCTCCCCCTCTCGCCTTCTCCTCTCACCCTCTCCCCCTCTCCTTTCGCCTTTCCCTTCCCCTCTCCTCTCGCCCATGCAGATCCGGCCTATGGTGGAGCCCACCAAGGCGCTGCTCAACACAACCATCCACTACACCTGGCCGGAGCTCTACAAATCAGGTGCGCGCCCACCGCATGTCATGCCATCCATCCCATCCCATCCCATCCCATCCCATCCCATCCCATCCCATCTCATCTCGCCCTTTGCCATCTCATCCCACCCTTTGCCATCTCATCCCTCCCCGTCCCATACCATCCTATCCTATATGCGTGGGTACTGTCCCCATGGGTGTGTGAATATTAGCTTAGTCACTGCCTGCTTTTGAATTGTGTGCATGTGTGCTGGTTTGTGGGTGCGTGTGCATGTGTGCTTGTGCATGTGTGCATGTGTGCTGCGCGTGTGCGCATGTATGTATGTGCGTGCTTCTCACTGTGCTAACAACAGGCAATTACGTCGCTGTCTTCTGGCTCTGGGCACCAGTTGGTGTGGTACGTACGTCTCCCACTTACTCTTTATCCAGTCTTCCTTCACCGATTCATCAACCCTTCCACATCCTTCTTCCATCCCGCTTCTTTCTCTGCTCCTGTGAGGATAACAAGGAAGGCCAAGCATGTCTGCACCTGAAGCACTTTCTCCATGTCCTTCCCCCATGCCCTTGTGCAGATTTACATCATGGATCTTCAGATATTCTACGCCATTTTCTCCTCGGTTGTGGGCTACATCATGGGTGTCTTTGCTCATATCGGGGAGGTGTGTAAGGGGGACGTGAGGGATAGAGGTACACTGCATGCATGCGAGGCATCCCCGTCCCAGAGCCTACTCTCGTCTGATTTCGGTTGAATGATAGCTGATTCGTGCTTGCCAGGGAAACGACCCCCACTGCTCAGGTCCAGCCGTGTGAATGTTTCACCATGCTTCACCCTTCTCCCATATTCCACCATGTCCTACCTCCCTCTTCCACAAGTGAGCCACGTGAGGCTACTCATGCTGCGCTTCCTCTTCCTGCCCCGCGCCATGCACCTCAACCTGCTCCACCATGCCATGGCCTCCCCCTCTCCTCTCCCCATCCCATCTCCCTCTCACAGGTGAGCCACGTGAAGCTGCTCACTCTGCGCTTCCGCTTCCTGCCCCGCGCCATGCACCTCAACCTGCTGCCGCCCTCCACCAACGCCCAGCGCCGCGGTGGCATGCGCAGCGCCATGGCGCGCATGTGGAACCGCATAATCATGACCTACGGGCTCGTCTCGCCAGACACCTGGGTGCGTTTGATTTGAGCGTGTGTGGGTTTTTTGAGAATTCTCAAAAAAACACATTCTCAAAGAATTCTCAAAAAACACAACCTACGGGCTCGTCTCGCCAGACACCTGGGTGCGTTTGAGCGTGTGTGGGTGTGTTTGGTCTGCACAAGCTTATGAGTATTCTTCTCAGTGGCATGCGCAGCACTATGGCGCGCATGTGGAACCGCATGGTTATGTATGACCTACATGCTCGTCTCCCCTGACACCTTGGTGCGTTTGATTGGTCAGATGCCTAATGCCAAGACTGATTACCCTGGACTTTCACATATCTCGCAAGGGTTCTTAGAAAAAAGCAAATGTCCTATGCAGGGGTTCTCGCATGGCTGCTTGAATTGAATGAATGATCGGCGTTGTTTGTCTCTGTATGTGTCTGCTCATGCAGGAGACGGACGAGCGGTGGGTGGTGCTGTGGAACAGCGTCATCGAGAGCTTCAGAGAGGAGGATCTGCTGTCTGACGCGTAAGTGGCAGGGAGAGAGTGTGGGAGGAAGGGGTTGAGGGGAGTGGGAGAAGGGAGGGAGGGGGGATGGTGGAGCTTCAGAGAGGAGGACCTGCTGCCGGACGCGTGAGTGGCAGGAAGACAGGGGTATGAGGGAAATGGAGCGAAGGGGAATGGTGGGAAATGAGAGAAGAGGACCTCCTGTCTGAGGCTTGAGTGGGAGTGGGATGGGGGAGTAGGGAGGGGATTGGAAGTTTGTGTGGAGTGGGGGGAGAATAGGATCTCTTGGCCGATGCATGAGTGGCCGGAGGAAATGGGGAAGGGGGGGAGTTTGGTTGTGGGGGGGAGGGGGGACTGGGTGGGAGAAAGGAGATTGTGGGACGGACAGGTGTAAGTTTCGCTCGTGCAGAGGCACCATGAGCCATCGAACTAGTACTCTCCACTTTCTCAACCCCTCTTCGCCTCCTTCTCCACTTCCCCCTGTTTTCCTCCTTCCTGTCCCACTCCCCCCGGCCTTGGCCCCTCTCATGTCATGTGCCACACCACAGCGAGTTGAATCTCCTCTCTATCCCCGAGGCCTACACAACGGCCACTGTCTCCCGCTGGCCCATTGTGCTGCTGGCCGATCAGGTACGACTCAGCGTGCTTATCGCAAATCAGTCTTCACGTGCTTGTAATGGATTATTGCATGACCTTTTGTGTTTATTTCGTTGCCCAGCTATGGTGCGTGCGCGGTGCTGTACTAAAGATCTGCACAATACATCGCACTTCTTCCTTCCTCCTCGTGTTCCACCCTCTCCTCTCCCTTCACCCACACCCCATCAGGTGGGAAGGCCACGACCATCGCTGGCAGGTGGAAGAACTCCTCCTCGTCCCTCTGGCGCCGCCTCTGCTCCTCCGACTTCTGCCGCTGCGCTGTGCTCGAGACCTTCGGCCTCTTCCGCCTTCTGCTCTCCCACCTGCTCATCGCCGGCACGCCAGAGCACCGCATGGTGCAGCAGCTGCTGGCGGAGATCGACGGTGCAGCCAGTGGCGCAGCAGGCCTGTCACCCCACCCTCTCCTCTCACCCATTCCACCCTCTCCTCTCCACTCTCCCACACCCCAATCAGGTGGTGAAGGCCACGACCATTGCCGGCAGGTGGAAGAACTCCTCCTCGTCCCTCTGGCGCCGCCTCTGCTCCTCCGACTTCTGCCGCTGCGCCGTGCTCGAGACCTTCGCCCTCTTCCGCCTTTTACTCTCCCACCTGCTCATCGCCGGCACGCCAGAGCACCGCATGGTGCAGCAGCTGCTGGCGGAGATCGACGGTGCGGCAAGTGGCGCAGCAGGGGAGGCGCACACAGACAGGGACTTTGTGGATGACTTCAACCTGGGGAAGCTGCCCGCCATGCAGGCCAAGCTCGTTGCTCTCACTGCGTTTCTGCTCGGAGGACCCACCGAGGAAGAACTTCCCAAGGTGGGTCGCCTCCCTTGAGGGTGCGGCTAGCAGGGCAGCACACGGATAGGGACTTCGTCTCTGACGGGACTTCTGGAGCTCCAGCAACCACTCGCTGCTCCTCTCTGCCCCTCACCTGTTGTCTCTCAACCCTCATCCCAAACACCCCACTGGCAACACCCCTGGCCCCCCCGCCAGGCCATCATGCTGGTGCAGAACCTGCACGAGGTGGCAGTGCAGGACTTCTGGAGCGCCGGCAACTTCATGCTGCTGCTCTCTGCCCCTCACCTGCTGCCTCTCAACCCCCCACCCCCCCCACCCCGCCAGGCCATCATGCTGGTACAGAACCTGCACGAGGTGGCGGTGAGAGATTTCTGGAGCGCCGGCAACTACTCTCTCCTGCTCTCCAAGGGCGTCATCCCGCGCTCCACCCCCCCTGCCTCGCCGCTCTACGTGGGCGCCATCCGCATGCCCGACCCCTCCGACCCCACCTACTTCGCCCCGCTGCAGCGCCTGCACTCCCTGCTCACCTGCCAGAACGCCATGGCTACCATCCCTGCGAATCCCGAGGCCAGGAGGAGGGTTACGTTCTTCTGCAACTCGCTGTTCATGGCCATGCCGCCCGCACCGTCGGTGCAGCGCATGCGGTCGTTCTGTGTGATGACGCCGTATTACAACGAGTCGGTGATGTACTCGCCGGACGAGCTCAGGCGGCCCAATGAGGATGGTATCTCGCTGCTCTACTACCTCCAAAACATCTTCCCAGGTATGTTATTGAGTCGGCTTGAAATGCATGAAACACACCACGGTGACGCCTTATTGTAATGAGTCGGTGATGTACTCGCCGGATGAGCTGCGGCGGTTGATGCCAACGAGGATGGCATTTCTCTGCTCTACTACCTTCAGAACATCTTCCCAGGTATGTTGAGAGGCGACTCAGAACGCACACCACTCCGCAGTGTAGCACGCGCGGTCGTTCTGGAAACGAGTGGGAGAATCAAACAGCCTTCACAAATAGTCTGCAGTCTCCATTAGCCCTTGACCATGTTCCCCCTTCACTCCCACTCACAAACGGCCTTCTCTGCTGCTCCTGCTCCCCGTGCCCGCCTGCAGACGAGTGGAAGAACCTGGAGGAGCGGCTGGGGGTGCGGGGCAGGGAGGTGTGGGAGTTTGACGACGGTGCTGAGGTGTGCAGATGGGCCTCCTACCGCGGGCAGACCCTCGCTCGCACCGTGCGCGGCATCATGTACTATCACAGGTGTGTGTGCGTCACACTCAGTTTTCTCAAACAACTGCTGCAGTCACATACAATGTACCATCATAATTTCATCCTTCATTTCACGAATGCAGGCATGTTCAATCCCCGAACCCCACACCTCGCATCGCACCACCCCTGCTCCTCCCCTCCGCCACAGGCCACTGGACCTCCTCCCCTACTTTGCCACCAACCCAGACGCCCCCCGTTTTGAGGCGCCTCAAACCCACACTGGCATGATACCTTCTTCCCCTTGCTCCCCTCACCGACTGGATTTTTTTTCTTAATTTGACACTGACCCAGACGCCCCTCCCACCCAAGGCCGCGAGCTTCATTCCAAGCCCCAAGCCACACTGACCAGGGTATCATTCCCGCCCCCCTTCCATCCTCCCCTCCCACAGGGCACTGGACCTGCTCTCCTACTTCGACACTGACCCAGACGCCCCTCCCACCCAAGGCCGTGAGCTTTATTCCAAGCGCCAAACCACCGCCGCCCCTCCCGCTGAAGAAATGTCCGCTGCTGCTGCCGCCGCTGCTGCCGTCGCCTCCGCCTTTGGTGGCAGCGGGAGGATGCCAGACGCGGGGTGGGATTCCCAAGGTTCGGTGGAGCACATACGGGAGCAGATCTCGCAGCATCTCGGGCAGCAGCGCGAGTACGACCCCCAGTTTTCTCTCGCCGACGTGAAGTTCACGTATGTGGTCGCGTGCCAGATTTACGGCGAGCACAAGCGCAAGAACGACCCAAAGGCGCGGCACGTTTTGGAGCTCATGCAGGAGAATCCGGCGCTCAGAATCGCGTACGTGGACGAGCAGCCGCCCGCTCTGGGATCGGGCGGCGGGACTCGGTACTACTCCGTCCTGGTGAAGTGGGACCAGTGGAATCAGCGCGAGGTGGAGATTTTCCGCGTGCAGTTACCCGGCCCGATCAAGATCGGCGAGGGCAAGCCGGAGAACCAGAACCACGCCATCATCTTCACGCGTGGGGAGGCGCTGCAGACAATCGACATGAACCAGGACAGCTATCTGGAGGAGGCGCTGAAGATCCGAAACTTTCTGGAGGAGTTTTCGGAGTCGAGAAGACGGATTCTGGGGATGAGGGAGCATGTGTTCACGGGCAGTGTGTCGTCTCTGGCGGCGTTCATGTCGGCTCAGGAGACAGCGTTTGTCACCATTGGGCAGCGCGTACTGTACAACCCTTTGAAGGTGTGTTGCTGGCTTGTCTCGTGTTGTGATTCTGGGGATGAAGGAGCATGTGTTCACGGGTAGTGTGTGGTCATTTCCTCTCCTTGCTCCCATCTTCCCCCAGCATGTGGTTGCTGACTCGCTGGCACCCCACCCATACCTTCCTTCTCCGCCTCGCACCCTCTCATACCCCCTCATACCCCCGCTTACCCCCTCGTATTGTCTCACACCCCCTTTCCAGGTGAGATTGCACTACGGGCACCCTGACATGTTTGACCACGTGTGATCGCTTGCATCCCACCCATAAGTGCCTTCTCCCCCTTGTACTCCCTCATACCCCCTCACAACCCCTCACACCTCTCCAGGTGCGAATGCACTACGGGCATCCGGACGTGTTTGACCGCGTGTGGTCGCTGGCGCGGGGTGGCATCAGCAAGGCATCGCGAGTGATCAACATCAGTGAAGACATTTTTGCAGGCTTCAATACCACTCTGAGGCGTGGGGCGATCTCGCACCACGAGTACATTCAGGTGAGTTGAAGGGCTGTGGACGGTATGATGCAGCAAGGAAAGGGATGAGGGAGGGCTGTGGACGGTATGATGCAGCAAGGAAAGGGACGAGGGAGGGCTGTGGACGGTATGATGCAGCAAGGAAAGGGACGAGGGAGGGCTCTCCATCTTCCGCCTCCTCTCCGTCTTCCGCCTCCTCTCCATCTTCCGCCTCCTCTCCATCTTCCGCCTCCTCTCCATCTTCCGCCTCCTCTCCATCTTCCGCCTCCTCTCCATCTTCCGCCTCCTCTCCATCTTCCGCCTCCTCTCCATCTTCCACCTCCTCTCCATCTTCCGCCTCCTCTCCATCTTCCGCCTCCTCTCCATCTTCCGCCTCCTCTCCATCTTCCGCCTCCTCTCCATCTTCCGCCTCCTCTCCATCTTCTGCCTCCTCTCCATCTTCCGCCTCCTCTCCATCTTCCGCCTCCTCTCCATATTCCGCCTCCTCTCCATCTTCCGCCTCCTCTCCATCTTCCGCCTCCTCTCCATCTTCCGCCTCCTCTCCATCTTCCGCCTCCTCTCCATCTTCCGCCTCCTCTCCATCTACACCACCTACACCTTCTTCAGCACTCTTCAAAGCCGCTGCCACGCAATGCCCTGCCTCCTAAGTGGGGTTTTCTAATACACCACCTACACCTTCCTCGGCACTCTACTCTGCTCTCCCCTCTCCAGGCGCCTCAAGAACCAACACCCATGCTTCCATACACACGGCCCCTTCTCCCCCCCTTCAACTCCCTCTTCCCTCCATCTTCAGGTTGGAAAGGGCCGTGATGTGGGTTTGAACCAGATCTCTCTCTTTGAGGCCAAAGTAGCAAGCGGCAATGGAGAGCAGCTGCTGTCGCGGGACGTGTACCGGCTGGGCCACGGGCTGGACATATTCCGCCTGCTCTCCTTCTACACCACCTCCATCGGCTTCTTCTTCAGCACTGCACTCACCGCCATGGCTGTGTACGCCTTCCTCTGGGGGAGGTGCTATCTGGTGCTGTCGGGCGTGGAAGAGACGATTTCGTCGTCGGACAACCAGGCCCTATCTGCCGCCATCAACCAGCAGTTCCTCGTACAGGTATGTTGTGGGTGGCAGTAGGTATGTGAGATACTTTTGAGAATTCTCAAAAGTGCGCTGTTGATCAGTAAGCCACTTCTGAGAATTCTCAAAAACGACCCACAGAAAGGTTCCCCTTTCAGTGTGAAGCTGAATTGGCCTCTTCATGTCCGTGCTAATATGCTCACTAATAACATTCGCCAAATGACTGGATGCCCACAGCACAGGCACTCCTCCTTTCGTTTGCCTCTCCACTTCCTCAAACCCGTCCTCTCCTCGGACCTTCCTCCTTACGTCACTGCCAATGCCAATGAATGCGAATTACATTCCTCCTTTCTTCTCCTGCCTGCCTTCCTCAGATCGGGCTATTCACGTCGCTGCCAATGCTGATGGAGCTGATACTGGAAAAGGGCACGGGGGCAGCCATTTGGGAGTTCCTGCTCATGCACGTGCAGCTCTGCTTCGCCTTCTTCACCTTCTCCCTCGGCACGCGCGCTCACTACTTCCTGCGCACACTCATGCATGGCGGGGCCAAGGTGAGACGGGCGTGCTTGGGCCAAGGTGGGATGGGCATGCATGGAGGAAGGTGGGATGGGCATGCATGGAGGAAGGTGGGATGGGCATGCATGGAGGAAGGTGGGATGGGCATGCATGGAGGAAGGTGGGATGGGCATGCATGGAGGAAGGTGGGATGGGCATGCATGGAGGAAGGTGGGATGGGCATGCATGGGGGAAGGTGGGATGGGCATGCATGGAGGAAGGTGGGATGGGCATGCATGGAGGAAGGTGGGATGGGCATGCATGGAGGAAGGTGGGATGGGCATGCATGGGGGAAGGTGGGATGGGCATGCATGGAGGAAGGTGGGATGGGCATGCATGGAGGAGGGTGGGATGGGCATGCATGGAGGAAGGTGGGATGGGCATGCATGGAGGAAGGTGGGATGGGCATGCATGGGGGAAGGTGGGATGGGCATGCATGGAGGAAGGTGGGATGGGCATGCATGGAGGAGGGTGGGATGGGCATGCATGGAGGAAGGTGGGATGGGCATGCATGGAGGAAGGTGGGATGGGCATGCATGGAGGAAGGTTCGAGAAGTCTCTGAACAGGGACATGCATGATGCATTCAGGAGTTCTGTTAAACAGGCGCACTCCCCTTTCCATCTTACCTTCATCCCAATTTACCCCTCCCTCCTCCCCGCTCTCCGCTCCCTTCTCCTCCCCTCCCCTCCCTCCCCGTCTTCTCACCTCCTCAGTACCGGGCAACAGGGCGTGGGTTTGTGGTGAAGCACGAGCCATTCGCGGAGAACTACCGGCTGTACTCGCGCAGCCACTTCAACAAAGCAGTAGAACTCCTCCTCTGCCTCATCATCTACATGCTCTACTCCTCCCTCCGCGCCTCCACTGCCTACTGGCTACTCTCCCTCTCCGCCTGGATCCTCGTGCTCTCCTGGCTGCTCGCCCCCTTCGCCTTCAACCCCCTGGGCTTCGACTGGCTCAAGTGCTGCGATGACTGGGAGGAGTGGACGGCCTGGTTGTGGGCTAAGGGCGGGAAGGGCGTGACGGAGAAGCAGGCATGGGTGGCGTGGTGGGACGAGGAGAGGGCGCATCTGAAGACGACGGGGTGGGGGGGGTGGATCGTGGAGACGCTGCTGGCGTTGAGGTGGTTCTTCTTCCAGTATGCTCTCGTGTACCGGGTAAGTTGATCTGCCCTCACTTGGTGTTTCCCAAGCTGGGCACGAATATGCTCTCACATGATGGCTCTTTTTCCAAAATGCGCTCGTGTACCACGAGAAAACCAATCATCTGGTAGTGGCATATATGAGGTAATACGTCTAACACACGACGCACACAGTCACCCACTTACCTTCCCACCCCCTCCTCCTCCTCCTCCCTTGATTCCATGCCCCATTTACCTCTGCTTTTTGTTTCTTTTTTTTCACGTCTCCTGAACTCAATCTCCAGTTGGACATGGCGAATGCGAGCACGAGCATCCTGGTCTACGTGTACTCATGGCTCTTCATCTTCGCAATGGGCCTCTTCTGGATCTCCCTCACTCTCTGCGACCTCTACCTCTCCATACGCGCCCACCGCCTCCACCGCGCTGTCAAAACCACCATCTGTCTCGTCTTCCTCGCAGCTTTCATAACCGCTCTCTCCTTCACAAAACTCTCCTTTTCAGACGTTTTCCTACTTCCTCTGGTATTCCTCCCCACGGGATGGGGGTTCCTGCAGCTGACTCTGGTGGTGGCTGGGGCGTTTCCAGCGGTCGAAACGTGGTGGACGTGGGGGCTTGTGAAGAGTTTTGCGAAGACTTATGAGTTTATTATTGGGGTGATTGTGTTTTTGCCCATGGCGGTGCTGTCGTGGCTTCCGGGGGTTCAGGACATGCAGACCAAGGTGCTGTTCAACCAAGCATTCAGCCGAGGGTTACAGATTACGCGGCTTGTCACTGGGGCACATCCAAATGCAGGGTATTAGTTGTGATATACTTCTTGTACGGGCAATGGTCCTACAATCTAGTGTTGTTTTTGTATTTTAAACAGCACTGGTGCATGTGTTATAATTCAGGGAGGACTGCTAGAAGTGTGAAATATTTTCAGAAACATCAACAAAACATAGAACAAAGTTCATCTCGCGTATAGGTGCCTGAGTTTGATGGCAGCACACCATTGGCTGCCGACTACTAGCGCGGTCACCTCCTCAGCATCCGCGCTGTGCCAGATCACCGCATCCCCACTCCACCAAGCCTCAACGCCCTGAGTCAAATCAATTCGTTTGTGGCTGAGATGAGAAACCATCCCGCTGGTGAGGAGGGGACCATCAGAAAATGGCGGTGTTCGCCAGCACCTTTGAGATTGGAAGAAAATGGAAGGCATTGGACTGGCAACGGCATCAGGAAGCGGGGTCGGAACCCTCCGAAAAGGTTTGGGCGAAATGCCACCCGCGAACTTTCCAGCCCCGACATGAGAAACTTCACAACCGCATATGGAGCCCCACACCCCACCTTCCTCCGACAGCCACCGCCATCGCCAAACCACGGCGGTCCACGTGAAATGGTGGATTGCCACGGGATGGCATGAGACGGGACGTTTGCCTGGGGAGGAAGTCGCGTCCCCATTTCCGAATGCCATGTTTCCTTCCGAAAATTGAGAAAAATGAGAGCGTTCGCCAGGCACCGCAGATTGCTTTAGGCTCGGACGACATCCTAGCTTCGGCACGAATTTTACGGGCTGACCAGGCTGACGGAGCTTAACGAACCCTAACTGACGGGATCAGGAAGGCGTGACTGACCTTCCAGATCCCGTCGTTTTCGTTTTCAAAAGTGCTGGCGAACACCGCCAATCTGTGCCTTGGTTGTGACATGTGAGGTTTCAACGACGGGCAAAGTTCAAAAGGTACCACTATTCGGGAATCACAAACGTACTATATCTCTCTGAAAGCTACAGAACCTTTGTGTTTCAGTGGACCTGAATACTTGAGAAAGTTACTGATGCTCATTCTCGCCTTCAAACACCCGACCAGCTAATTCCTGGAGATCAGATTCTTCATGCAGTCCGAGTAGGCTTTCAGTCTAGAGGGTACTTGCGCTGCATTGAAGCCGCTATCGAGATTGCACTTCTTATGAGTCGGACTGACGACGACAGACTTGAGTAACATATCTTCTTCGATTACTACTTACGATTTACGTTCTCTAGGCTGAGCATCAGCAGTGAATCACACAACATTTTGAGGTTTTCTTGGTAGCACAGCGAAGCAGCCATGGGGTTGGTGGGGGAGATCCTGGGTCATCCAGATGAGTTCATGCCGTTGCTGCGGATTCGGCACATGGCGAAGATGGTGTCGAAGCTTCCCGACGACGAGGATTTCGCCTTCTGCTACGGCATGCTCAACCGCGTCAGCAGAAGCTTCGCCTTCGTCATTCAGCAGCTGCACCCGCTGCTGCGCGACCCGGTACGAAACGAAGAGAATGTGACCTAACTGAAATTTGTTATTCGCAACAACGATTAGAATGGTAGAAATCAGAGCTCAACTTTCAAAACTATACACGTTATGAAGGAAATTCCAGTTTGTATGGATCCTCTGAGCCAGGATCATGATGACATCACTATATGCTGTTTCAGAATTCAAAGTTCCCAGTGCAGACATCAGTGTTACCAACTGATGTCTCAATTGAGAACCATGCGAATGAGTCTAGCGTGTGTTCCGCGTTTTCCCCCGCAGGTGTGCATCTTCTACCTCGTCCTACGCGCTCTCGACACAGTCGGTACGCTTCACCTTTTCTCTCACCCGCGCCTTCTCTTTCTACCACTTCCCGCTCTAATAATGTCAATTCTTCTCTGTTCCCTCTTCCCTTGTTCCTGCATCTGCGACTTTACTCGCGTTGGTGCTAGCTTACTACGTCAATTCATGCTGCTACAACACCTCTCAGGTCCAATTATGTCCCATTCCTCTTCGGCCATCCACTTCACTCTTTTCCACTTACGCTGTAAATAATCCCCCCATCCACCAGCATTCATTCGTTCCCTCCCTCGCTCCCCAAACCTCCTCACTTTGTTGCTCCAATCTCCAATCCACTCCCCCTTCCACACCCATTACCACTATTCCTTCCACACCACTCTCCCTTCCGCACTCACTCAACCTCGCAAACCCAATCTCCTCGTCCCTTTCCCACCAGAGGACGACATGGCAGTGCCAATAGACGAGAAGGTCCCCATCCTCATCGACTTCCACCAACACATCTGCGACCCCGACTGGAAATTCGTCTGTCAGTGCCCCATTATCTTCCACAACCCCTCTTTTCCCCACCCCATCCCAAGACACCCTTCTCCCTCTCTCCTTGCACCTGAGAATTCTCCAACCACACGCTCCTACGCTATCTGATTTCGCTCGCATCTTCACGTATGTAGGCCTGTTTTCGCACAACCCAACTCCAATTCGCAACTTCCCCACCAAGGAAGAATAGTAGTACGAGTATACGAATTCTAACCCCCTTCAAACGCATTCCCTCGCTCGGTGGCGTTATGAGCATGTAGCACGAAGTGAAGGACTACTGCGTTCCTTGACCGCCTCACTCCTCTCCCCCCCCCCCAAACCCCTTCCCCCATCAGGCAGCACACCAAACGCCTTTCTTCACCCGGCCTTCCACTTCACCCCCATCCCCCCCATCTCCCCGCCAGGCGGCAGCAAGGACTACAAGGACCTCATGCAGCGCCTGCACCACGTGCGCCACGCTCTTGAGAAGCTGGAGCCCCGGTAAGACGAGACTGCTCTTGAGAAGCTGGAGCCCCGGTAAGACGAGACTGCTCTTGAGAAGCTGGAGCCCCGGTAAGACGAGACTGCTCTTGAGAAGCTGGAGCCCCGGTAAGACGAGACTGCTCTTGAGAAGCTGGAGCCCCGTTAAGACGAGACTGCTCTTGAGAAGCTGGAGCCCCGGTAAGACGAGACAAGAGCTGCAGCATCCGGGCCATTCCAGGCTGGATGGTATGGTAGTGTCACCTTCCATTGTGTGGAATGGAAATATGGAGCTCAGGAATGATGAAGTATCACAATCGAGGACCCACGTACGTTAAGGTCCATCCAGGCCCCCGTCCAGGCTAGAAGCAGGTGTACACTAGGTTCTCGCTTCAGGTGCTATCCTGGACGACTTTTGAGACGTCTCAAAAGGTGTACACTAGGTTCTCGCTTCAGGTGCTATCCTGGACGACTTTTGAGACGTCTCAAAAGGTGTACACTAGGTTCTCGCTTCAGGTGCTATCCTGGAGCTCGTGTAGGGGTTCGCGATATATCGCCACCACATCCCATCCCATCCCGTCTCGCGTTCCTCCCCTTCCTCTACTTCCCTCCCCCTCCCCCTCCTCAAACCCTAAGCCCTGAACCATGTACCCACCCGTGGCAGGTACAAGGCAGTGATTCTGGACATAACGAGGCGCATGGGAGCAGGGATGGCGTCCTTCATCACCACCGAGGTCAGCCCCTCTCAGCCCCTCTCAACCAATCTCAGCCACTCTCAGCAGCTGCAATGAGGTGCAAGTGAAAAAACGACGGCCTTGTCTCGTTCTGCTCTAGCATGCATCGTTTCCCCTCTCCGCCTATCTTTCAAATCCCCCATCCCTTCCCTCATCATTGAACCCTGGTCCTTCTGCCCTGCAAATGCTGTGTCCACCGTTCACCCCTCAAATCGCCTTCCTTCTTAAACTGGAGGCCCCAGCCCCCCGGTTGAGAAGGATCAGTTGGCAGTGTTGCAGTGCAGGAACCAACTCTGCCACCAGCTCACGCTGCCTTCTACCCCTCTACCTCCCTCTACCCTGAACGTCAACCCCCAGGTGGAGACGGTGTCACCGTCGAGTGCAGGTACGACGAATGCAGCCACGATGTGGCGGGGCTGGTGGGAATCGGGCTGTCTTTTGAGGTGCCTCCAAAGACCTCTCGACCTCTATCCCACATGTTATCCCGCATGTTAACCCCCAGGTGGAGACAGTGGCACAGTACGACGAGTACTGCCACTACGTGGCGGGGCTGGTGGGCATCGGGCTGTCGGACCTCTTCCATGCCGCCAACTTGGAAGAAGCGTTTGAGGAGTCCCTCTCCAACTCCATGGGCCTCTTCCTGCAGGTCCAACCCCTGCATCCCTCCATCCATCCACTTGTCCTTCCCTCCCTCATTTTTCCGTCGTCTGTCAATTCGTCCATCCGTCTGTCCGTTCCTCACATGATGTTTCGCTGGGGCATTGAGGCGCCTCAGAAGTCTTTCATGCTGCCAACCTAGAAGAAGCGATCACTAAGTCTTCCATGATCGCGGAGTATCCATGGCCTCTTCCTGCCGGGGGGTCCGCCAATCCGTGCATCATCCATCCATCCACCCGCCCGTCCGTCCATCCACCCGCCCTTCCGTCCCTCTGTGACCTGTCCATCCATCCATCCATCCATGCTTTCGTCCGTCCATCCATCCATCCATGCTTTCGTCCGTCCATCCATCCATCCATGCTTTCGTCCGTCCATCCATCCATCCATTCATCGGCTTGAGGCATCTGTGTGTGCGTGCCCCCAAACGTGCATGTCCCCATGCATGCATGCATGTCCCCGTGTCCCCCACGTCCCCATGTTCCCCATGTCCCCACGGCACAGAAGACCAACATCATACGCGACTATCTAGAGGACATAACAGAGGAGCCCGCTCCTCGCATGTTCTGGCCCAAAGCCATCTGGGGCAAGTACGCTGCACGCCTGGAGGTGAGCCACTTTGGAAATCTGTGTCACGCTTGGAGGAATTCTGAGTGCACGCAAGTGCGACTGTGCTGTGGGAAGGAATGGGCTAAGCAGGTTGATTTGTTTTCACGGCGCCTTGGAAAAAGAAGCTCTGCGCATGTTCTAGCACAAAGCCATCTGGGGCAAGCACGCCGAGCGCCTTGAGGTAAGCTGCTCTGGGAGGGGATATGCCAAGCATTCTCCTTCCATACGCCTGCATTCTTGTCCCCCCCACTCACCCCCCCCCCCCCCCAACCACTGTGTTCCATGCTTGTATCATGGCTATCCATGCAATGTCATTCCTCCAACCGAGAATTTCAAGGGTGCTGACAACAGCAACGGAGCGGCTGCAGTGAATCGCTTTGCGATTCACTGTGAATCACAGCTACTCGACCACTGTTGCGATTCACTGTGAATCACAGCTACTCGACCACTGTTGCGATTCACTGTGAATCACAGCTACTCGACCACTGTTGTGCTGCGCTGTCCCTCTCCCGCCCCTCCCCTCCCTCACAGGACTTCAAGGATGTGGAGAGCAACGGAGCAGCGGCAGTGAAGTGTGTGAACGAGCTGGTGACCAACGCGCTGGGCCATGTGAGCGACTGTCTCACCTACATGCACCGCCTCCGAGACCCGCAAGTCTTCCGATTCTGTGCCATTCCCCAGGTCCGTGAATGACTGGTCAGCGTTCTCCAGGTCAGTGAATGACAGCTCAGCATTCCCCAGGTTTGTCACTGACTGGTCAGCATGCCCGAGTCCATGGCTGACAAGCTGTGCTCCCATGCGGCCATGCTCCCATTTGGTGATGCTCCCATGTGGTCATGCTCCCATTTGGTGATGCTCCATGTGGTCATGCTTCCACATGCTTACACGCAACCATGTCCCCCTTGCCCGTTCATGCTTTCGCTGCAACCATCGTAGCATGTTGCGATGTCTGCATGATCCCATCCCCTGCATCTATGCATCCCCTCTCTGCCCCGGCCCCCCATGCCAATCATAGCAGTTGAACTCACATGAAAGTGAGATGCGCCAGAAGTTCCCAGATTCAGAGCTGTCTTGCTGCTTCCATGCGTCCGTTGGCCTTCCGGCCCCCGCACAGATCATGGCCATGGGCACGCTCGCACTGTGCCGCAACAACATCAGCGCCCTCGCAGTCTTTTAGTTGTCTCAACCATTTCACACTTGCATGCATCCCTTGCCCTCACCCACGCCCCCGCACAGATCATGGCCATGGGCACGCTCGCACTGTGCTACAACAACATTGGCGTCTTCCAAGGCGTGGTCAAGATGAGAAAAGGTGCTGTCACCGTAAGACCCCTTACCGCTCGTTGCTAAGGCATGTGTATGGTCGTACCCATTTGATTCTCACGTTTCTGTTAGTGTTTCCTTCAGAAATTTTTTCCTTCCATTAGTTTTCCATGCCCTGCTCACCTTCCGCTTTCGCATTGGGCTGTGTGTGTGTAACAGTCGTGGGGCTCTCACCCATCTGGATCTGTCTTCACCTCTCCCTCACACTGTGCCTTTGCGTTGCACACCCCATACCCTTCGTCGCGCCACACCCTTCCTCGCCCCACACCCCATCCTGGGGGGCAGGTCTAGCGGCGAAGGTGATGGAGCAGACGTGGAGCATGGCGGACGTGCGCTCCTCATTCACAGACTTTGGCTTCGAGATCCTGAAAAAGGTACACCCTGCCCTGCCACTTGCTCGCACAGCATCTTTAAATGGGGGTACTGGCCCTTTCCCTGGCCTGTACACCTTCCCTCCATAACTCTATTCTATCCCCGTCACACCAACTCACGCCCCCACACGCACCCACATGAACTACAGGTGGACGATTCAGATCCAAACTCGCAGGCAACGCGGGAGTGTATTGGCAAAATCATCGCCTCGTGCAGAACAGAGGGAAGGCTTGTAAGGGGACGCCTGTCAGTCTGTGACAATGCCAAGTGGCGATACCTATTCTATTTATTCCTCATTGTAAGTGTCATTTCCATCCTCCCCGCCCTCAGCTGATCGTACGACCTCTGTCCTGTCTCAGTCCCTCAACCTCTTCCAACCTTTTTCCCTACCATCACTTGTCCTCTCCCTCATTTGTTTGCCCTCCTTCATCTCTCTCCCTCCTTCATCTCTCTCCCTCCTTGATTCTTTCCTGCATTCGCACCACTCCATTCGTGACCACTCCATTCGCGACCGCTCCACCCCCTTCCTCTCAGTCCTTCCTCCACAGCACCCCTTATTCGTTTTTCTGTTCACTAACAGAGCTGCATTCGTCTGCAATGATTTGCAGCAAAGATTTCCATGACCGGCACCCATTAAATGCTTTCTCGTAACATAACAAGTCTGCTCTGTGTTGTGTTACATGTTTATCTGCAGCTGACGCTGATCTCCTACGTGGTCTCATACCTAAGTAGTGCCTTCTCATCATAGGGGGCTTGTTTCAGATTCGACAAACAGTACAACATTAGGTGTGTTCTGTAATCAACCCAGTTTTTGTCATGAGCATTTCAAGTAAAAGAATATACGTACTCCAAGCATCTATATGCGATTTCAGCTTATATCTGTGTGAGATATGAGAATGTCCAACCAAATACGATGTGCCCACATGTGGTATTACATTAATGTACCAGTTAAGAATGTGTCGATCAGTCTGCTGCTGCTTCTGGTTCTGAAATGGTAATTTCAGAACCATAGAACCATGTAAAATCCAAGAAGTAGCAAATGTACCAAAGTCATTAGGCAAAGAAAATGTCTTGCTCCAAGAGCGTCCAAAGCATACCCGTTGAGAGCGTATTTCGAGTTTCAAGTTGAATCTTGCCATACGTGAATGGTCACCGACTTTCTTCCGCTGACTCGGACAGAGGGAGAAAATACGAAGCACAGAGGGCAAGCCACGTGTTTCGCGAACCTTCCACTGATACACCCACTCGCGAAACAAAAAAACGTACTAGTCAGACCTGTCCCCCGTCATGGGCCCCCCTCAACTTCCCCGCCTTTCTACCCTGTTCCCCAAAACCGCCCCTCCAATCGATGCCACTGCCACTTTCAGTATGAGGGTCATTCACGACCGCGAACCAAGCCTGAGCGTCTGCTTCGGCGTCCGACCTGGACCATCTTCACTGGCGACCGCATCTACTGTACCTTGTCGCGCCTCCCCCCAACCTTCCCTTCCCCGCCCTTGTCTGCGCAACTAACTGTTCCCGAATTTCCTCCTCCCAATCCTTCCTGTTCTGCCTGATTGCCAGAGATGATTCGTGGAGCCTATATTGGCCAGAATCAACAATTCTTGGAATTCAACCTGGCTCTTCATTCTTCTGCGTCTTGCTCCTGGTTCCGTGATCCCGTGTAAGACTAGATATACAGAATCTGTAGCCATGGCGAAGTCCTACCCTACCGTCAGCGATGAGTACCAGACGGCCGTTACCAAGGCTAAGAGGGAGTTGAGGGCTCTCATCGCGGAGAAGAACTGCGCCCCCATTATGGTTCGCCTGGCGTAAGTATTCCATTACGTTTGATCATCAAGGTTCTCTTGCCTGAACGTTTTGCAGACCCAATGACGTAGGTTAGATATAGAAGTTGACGGTGCTCCCGGTTGATGAATCTGCATGCAGTTGGCACGGTGCTGGAACTTTCGATGTCAAGGACAAAACCGGAGGTCCTTTCGGAACCATCCGCAAGCCGGAGGAGCTGGCGCACGGAGCGAACGCTGGTCTCAAGTGGGCTGTTGACGTCCTTGAGCCCATCAAGGCCAAGTACAACATCCTCTCTTACGGAGATCTCTACCAGGTTCGTGCTACTGACTCGTTCCGCTCTTCAACTCATTGACTCCACCCGCCAGCAGTCTTGCTGATACATTCTTGGGTGTGTGCGTCTCAACCATGTGATTCTTTAACAGCTTGCTGGAGTCGTCGCTGTGGAGATCACTGGAGGCCCAGAGATCGACTTCCATCCCGGACGCAAGGTAAGCGACACGTTGCACAAACCCAACCGCGAATCCCATGTGTTTCCATAATTGTGATCTTCCCGTATGTATTGCTCCTATAGTATCTTGAGAGTTATTCGTTGCTGTGAATGCTCTCAGGATGAGGAGAAGGCCCCGCCTGAAGGCCGCCTACCTGACGCCACGGGCGGCTCCAACCACCTGAGGGACATCTTCTACAAGATGGGCCTCAACGACAAGGAGATCGTCGCTCTTTCTGGCGCTCACACCCTGGTGAGTAGGGTCTGATAATCTGGGAGTCATACCGAAGGCAGATCCGTCCCGCATTGCAAGGAAGCCAAATGGAGAAAACGCCAAATTAAATATGTGATCCGTTTATCACTGGCAGGGGAAATGCCACAAGGAGAGGTCAGGATTTGAGGGCCCGTGGACCACGCAACCCCTGAAGTTCGACAACGAGTATTTTGTGTAAGTGGACAAGCAGAGTGATTGAATCTCTAAATTCCCCAGTAGGAGTCACAGACAAGGAGAGTTCATATTCTTCGGTGTTTGCCACTGCAGCAACCTTCTGAGCGACAATGACAAGGGTCTGCTGGTTCTTCCCAGCGACAAGGCCCTTGTGGAGGACGCTGAGTTCAAGAAGTATGTTGAGCTCTATGCCAAGGTGCGTTGTGATTCTGCAACTAACATTATCCTGCTTGGCTTACATTGTGAACGCATTCCAAATCTCACTTGCGATCTGTGTTTTTCTGGGGATGTTACAGGATGAGGATGCCTTCTTCGCTGACTATGCTGCGGCCCACCAAAGGCTATCTGAGCTCGGGTAAGCAGACTGAAGGGGTCGAGCAGGGCACAAATGTGTAACCATATGTAACATGGGGTGGGATGCATGCCATGGTCTTCAGGATCTTATTTTCCGCAGTTGCTCATGCCTTTTTTTCTTGTTTCCCTGCAGGTTCGCGGATGCTTGAAGTTTGAACACCTAGAGTATATTATTGTGAATGTCTACTTGGTTCTCAAGGTGTAAAAAATTTCAAGCATGAAAAGTATCTGTACCATCAGTGCCAGAATAAAACCTGTCCCACCACATTTAGCACAACAGCATGACACTGACGGGTGCATCACCTTGAGCGTTTGATTTCCCCACCGCCAGCTAATATAAACTTATTAGTATAGCACCCGTGTAGAGAACTTTGTGGAAGAAAAGCTCGTCTAAACATGCACAGCTGTAAACTGTGGGGTGAAAAAGACGGAACTCTTCCCACCATGATGTCCAGCATACATTTGTTAGACACGTAATGAAACACCACAGGCATTGAGGACCTTTCTTCTACATTCCCACTTCTGACTGCAAGTCTAAGCAGTAGCAATTGCCGAAGCTCCCGCAGCTGGAGCGTCTCCAAGATCTTGTGTGATGACTCCCAGAAGGACCAGGGACGCTCTGAACATGAACCAGAACAAATGAGACAAAGCATTGCAAATCAATCAAGCAAACATACACAGAGCTCTCTAAACTGAGAGAATACCGGAAAACGGGGGACCGCGCAAAAGGTTGCGTTGCATCACATGCAGCAAGGTGGAAACAGATCTGTTGTGAGACGCCTCAAAACAGGGTGCATACCGGGGAACGGAGGGCTGCACGGATGGTTGTGCGGCATGTGCAGCAAGTTCGGGGCGGAGCGACGGCTCTCGATTCAGCGCATCTTCCAGCTGTGCTGCTGGCAGCTGCGGGGGTGGGGAGGGAGTGGGGGAAGTAGAGTGGCAAGCGGAATTTTGAGGAGATCGGGAGAGGGAAGCAGGCGAGGTTGTCCGCGAGTGTGAGCATGAGGGGTGAGGGTGAGGGAGAGTGTGAGTGTGAGGGTGCGAGTGAGGGTGAGTGTGAGGGAGGGGGTGAGGGCGAAGGGGAGGGAGAGGGCGAGGGAGAGGACGGCAATAGAGCTGTGGCAGGGTGAGAGGACTCACTTGTAGGAGGACAGGAAAAGAGAGAGGCTTTGTAACGAGGCAGCACTTGATGAAGCCCAGCCACAGCTGTGGATGGGCTCTCCACACCTGCAGGGTGGATCAGGAGGGGGGGCAGTGAGTTTAAGAAGGGATAAGCTGGCAGAATTACATGGCATTCGATGGCATTAGATGGCATCAGATGGCATGTGGTGGCACTGGACTGGATAGCATGATGTGGCGTCAGCTGACATGGGGCGGCATCAGGTGGCATGAGTGATTTTTGGAACACACAGTTATGCGTTTCAAATGCGGATCGACACATCTCAAAGCTCCAATTTCACCTGCTTGGTTATGAGGCGCGAGAGTATGTCCGCCACAAACGATGCCTGCATGCAACAATAACACGGCACGAGACAGCAAAACAAGAGAGTGGATGAGAAAGAGAAAGGTAAGAACAGATTTGATTCAGTATCACTCAACTGTCATAGAAAGAGAGTGGAATGGGACAAATTGGACCCACTTCACCAGACGGCGTGTAGAAAAACAAAGAAGCAAGGTGGTGTGAAAGGGGATAGCAGGGTGCAAGACAAATGTGGGAATCTTAAACTTGTGCAACAGATTAGGAGGGCAGTGAGGAGGGGAGTGAGGAGGGCAATAAGAAGGGCGTGAGGAGGGCAAGGAGGAGGGCAGTGAGGAGGGCAGTGAGGAGGGCAGTGCAGAGAGAATTGAGGAGGGCAGTGCGGATCTGACAATGTCAGGGAAGGCTGCGACAGACTCCATGGCGGTGCGGAAGAGTAGCATGGGGAGGGGCGTCTGTCCGACCTGTTGTAAGACAAGTAAGAAAGCAAGAAATAGAGAGAAAACAGGAAAGAACGAAACAAGGGTCGTCATGTGCTACTTCGGATGCCGAGAGGCACTGGTAGATAGATAGGGTCCCCGTCTTCCAGGGCCTCTGTCAACGTCCCCGTCTAAATCAGGGCTCATCACGAAGCAGCTGGTTTGGGACTGCAGCAATGGCTTTCTGCTTGTAGATGGCTGTTGAGTCGACTTGAAAAGAACACCCGCAACGTCAGGCCCAGCAGAGCAGCTGGATGAGGAGGCTGTGCCGACAATTGAGGCGCAACCAAGGGCGCAACCCGGGGCGCAACCCAGGGCGCAACCCAGGGCGCAACCCGGGGCGCAACCTAGGGCGCAACCCAGGGCACAAACGAGGGCGCAACCCAGGGTGCAACCACAGAGCGGCTGGTTCAAAAGAATACCTGCAGAACTTCATGCCCAGCAGAGCAGCTGGATGAGGAGGGTGCATTCAGTTATTCGCAAGAAGAGTCTGCGGAAATGCATATGCTTACGCACTCTTGTCAATGATGCAGGACGGAGAGCATACCAGCTGGTTGCGCACTTTGGCGATGACTTGCTGTGTGTAGATGACTTTTAAGTCAACTAAACAATCATCCAAGCACCGTCAGGGCGGGCATATCAGCAGGACCAGCGTAGAGCTTACCAGCTGGTTGAGCACTTTGGCGATGACTTGCTGTGTGTAGATGGCGCGCTGCGAGATGCAGAAGGAACACACCGCCATGATCTGATGGACACACAGCACAGCTCAAGGGTTGATGTGATTTAGAGGAAGGTGAAACTGGAAGCAGGGTGAGTGCGCTCAACAGTGCAACAGCACAACGGTTGTCTGGTTTCGCAGCCTATCAAAACTCAGCTCAGACACACCTTTTTCAGCGGAACGTTGTCCCTCTTGGGTTGCACAGCGTGCAGTGTGGTCATAAGCTCCACTGCTGTTAGCGCTGGCGGCGTGTGAGGGGAGCCCTGGGAGGGAGTGAATGGGTTGCAAGGGAGAAAGAAGAGCAATCAGATGGGTGTGAATGGGTTGCAAGGGAGAAAGAAGAGCAATCAGATGGGTGTGCAGAAAAGTGTGCAGTGTAATCATCAGCTCCACTGTTGCGAGCAGTGGGGGCATGTTGAGTGAGCCGTGGGAGCAAGTGAGTTTGGAAAACAAGTGGAGAGCTGCACTACTCCTCTCACCTGCAGCAGGCGGTCCTGAGCGATCTTGAAGAGCTCCAGAGGCAGGTGCAGCAGGCGCGGAAACACCTCCAGAGCCTGGCACCAGGTGGGGATGGTGGTGTTCAGGGCGACGATGCCATGCCGCAGTGTGGGGCAATGGGGCATGGGGCAACAGGGATGGGGCATGACGCATGGGGCATGGGGCATGGGGCATGGGGCAACGGGGATGGGGCATGACGCATGGGGCAATGGGGCATGGGGCAATGGGGCATGGGGCAACGGGGATGGGGCATGACGCATGGGCAAATGGGGCATGGGGGCAACGGGGATGGGGCATGATGCATGGGGCAATGGGGCAATGGGGCATGGGGCAACGGGGATGGGGCATGACGCATTGGGCAATGGGGCATGGGGCATGGGGCAACGGGGATGGGGCATGACGCATGGGGCAATGGGGGTATGGGGCATGGGGCAACGGGGATGGGGCATGACGCATGGGGCAACGGGGATGGGCATGACGCATGGGGCAATGGGGCATGGGGCATGGGGCAACGGGGATGGGGCATGACGCATGGGGCAATGGGGTATGGGCATGGGGCATGGGGCAATGGGGCATGAGGCATGACAATGAGGCATGAGCAATGCGGAATGCAGGATGGATGAGGCCATCATGGCCGCATGAGAGTAGGGACGGATAGCTGTTGAACGGCAAGTCATTATAGTCAGTCACATGGCTGCAGCAGTCACATCTGTACAACTGCTTCACTGCAGTCACATCGGTACAACTGCTTCACTGCAGTCACATCGGTACAACTGCTTGACCGCAGTCACATCTGTACAACTGCTTCACTGCAGTCACATCGGTACAACTGCTTCACTGCAGTCACATCGGTACAACTGCTTGACCGCAGTCACATCTGTACAACTGCTTCACTGCAGTCACATCTGTACAACTGCTTCACTGCAGTCACATCTGTACAACTGCTTCACTGCAGTCACATCTGTACAACTGCTTCACTGCAGTCACATCTGTACAACTGCTTCACTGCAGTCACATCACATCACCCAGTCACCACCACAACCAGCACGCTGACGTTCACATAGAGCAGTGCTGCAGTGCAGTGGCGTGGTGTGTACGAAATGCACCTCGTTCTTGGGGTGTATTTTGAGGCGCCTCAGAATAAACCAGCACGCTGACGTTCACACAGAGCAATGCTGCAGTAGTGTGTGTATGAAACGCACCTCGTTTTTGGAGAGGAAGGGCAGGATGGGAATGAGGAGCTCTGGCTCCTGGAGTGGCAGGGAGAAAGGGGCGTAAGTGGTGTGACAAGGGGATGACGGTGTGAAGTGAGTTGACTTTTGAGACGTCTCAAAAGAGGAAGGGCAGGATGGGAATCAGGATGGGAATCAGGATGGGAATCAGGATGGGAATCAGGATGGGAATCAGGAGCTCCGGCCCGGTTCCTGGAGTGGCGGAGCGAAAGGGGGTAGCAGTTTTTGCGGAGGATGTGAGGAGAAAACACAAGTTGAAAGGGGGGATATTGTGGATACAGCGAGAGTTGGAAAGGAAATGATGTGAAGGTACGAAGGAAGAAAACAACAAGGCAGTTCACACTTCAATAGAAGTGAATCTTTCAAGCATGTAAATATACCAGTAAAACAAACCAGACATAAGGACAAGAGGGACCATACCACGGGCCTGGCAGCAGAGAGGGTTTTGACTGCAGCGATGAAGGGCGGGGGCAGGGCGGACGGGCGTGGTGGGTCCGCCACACAGTGCAGCAGCTGGAGGAGGGTGCAGGGTCGAGTTGGGAGTGGGGGGGGGCAGGGGAAGAGAAGGCTAGTTTTGAGGCGCCTCAAAACAAGGGCGGGGGCGGGGCGGATGGGCGTGGTGGGTCCGCCACACAGTGCAGCAGCTGGAGGAGGGGGCGGGGTCGAGTTGGGAGTGGGGGGGGGCAGGGGAAGAGATGGAGGGATGTGGATCGGACACGAGGGAGGGGCATGGTGTGTCGGCCACACAGTGCAGCAGCAGCCGTGTGTGATAAGTCGATTTTTGAGTCGACTCAAAGATGGAGGGATGTGGATCGGATCGGAGACGAGGGAGGGGCATGGTGTGTCGGCCACACAGTGCAGCAGCAGCTGACCGAGGGGGAGGGAAAGATTCAAACGGGTGACTAGAGGGTGAGAGTGGAATTAGGAAGGAGAGGGACAAGGCCTGGCGGCAGAAGGAGTGGCAGCAGCATCACAAGATTGCCTGAAGAAAAATCTTTGATACAGCCCACCTCACATCCAACCCCACCCACCTTGAGCAAGAGGCGCATTGAGCCCTCTGGGGGGTTGGAGATGAGTGTGAGGAGGTCGGGAGTGGTGGGGGGGAGTGTGGCGAGCATGGGCGGCAGCAGGTCGCGCAGCATGACCCGCTTGGCCACGGGGTTGACTTGCCCAAACACCCGGAAGAACTCCGCCAGTAGGGATGGTCTCTGTTGGGGGCAAAACAGGGTGGAAGGTTTGTGGAGGCAATGGAAGGGAGAGTGTGGGGAAGGGTGAAAGGCTCTCAACACGGGTTTGAAGAAGTGTGAAAGGAGACGTCTCAACACAAAACACTTGTTCAAACATGGGGAAGGGTGAAAGGCTCTCAACACGGGCATCATGCCCCGCTTGGCCACGGGACTGCCTTGCCCCCAACACCCGGAAGAAATCCGCCAGTAGAGATGGTCTCTGTTGCATGGTGCATTAAGGGGCAGGGGGGAGGAGAGGAGCGTCGGAAGGGAGAGCAGCAAGAGGTGAATGCCTTCAACACAAACATAACCCACTTGGCCACTGGGATCAAGTCAACCCCTTGGCCACGGGTTTGACTTGCCCCGAACACCCAGAAGAAATCCACTAGTAGGGATGGGAGAAACAGAGGGGAGGTGATGCGAGTGTGAGCGGAAGGCAACGTGAGCAAGCGGGGTGGTGCACTCTCAACAGGAAGCGCAACGAGGAGCAATGGCACATGCAAATCGAGGAGCAACGGCACATGCAAATCGAGGAGCAACGGCACATGCAAATCGAGGAGCAACGGCACATGCAAATCTAGCTGGGTGATCGTGGCGTGGGCCCGGGAGAGTTTGGTGGAAGAAAAAAAAAAAAAAAAAAAAAAGAGAGAGAGAGAAAAATAACAAGACAAGGCTGCAGGATGCTGCGAGACAAGGGCCATACCCGGGAGCAGAGCGCACAGAAGAGCGCCAGTCGCCTCTCCACCTCGTGCCCTACTGCCTTCTGCTGCTCCCCTGACAGCTGCGCCGCTGCACCTCCCCCTCCCCCTCCCCCACCTGCTTGCCCCGCCGCCCCTCCCTCGCCTGCCTGCCCCGCTTCCCCTGCTGCCCCTCCCTGCTCCCCTCCCACTCCTTCCTTCCCACCACCAGCATCCCCAGCACCACCAGCATCCCCAGCAGCAGCATTACCACCAGCAGCACCCGGAGCAGAATCAGCAGCAGCAGCAGAAACCGGCATCGGTGCCGGCAGAGCCATGGTGGGCAGAGACAGCAGCTGCTTGAGTGCATACCGCTCGATGGGCACTGTGAGGTACGGCAGGGCGTGGAGGCGGTTGGCCACCAGCGCCACGCCCTTGGATCGGATGTCCGGGTGCGGGTGCACTGCACACTGTAAAGCCATGGCCAGACATCTCCTGCGCACGGGCGGGCGCAGCACTAGCAGCCGCCAGAGCACCACGAGGGACTCTTTCACCTGCTTTACCTCTTCCTCTGACCTTGGTCCCTCTGGGTCCTGCTCCGCTTCCCCTCCCTCTGCCCCATCTCCCGGCTCTCTCCGGTCTCCCGCCTCTCCTTCTCTTCCCTCCCCCTTTCCTCCTTCCACATCCCTTGCCTTTTCCCCCTCATCCCCATCACCCCTCTCTTCTAATCTCCTCTTTCTCCCAGCCCCAGCCCCCCTTTCTCCGCCTGTCCCCCTCTCGCCCTCCCTCCGCCCAAGGCCCTCCAACCCACACGCCTGCCCCAGCAGGTTCAGAAGCACGGGTGGGAGGAAGGGCGCTTCAACAAAGAGAGGCAGAAGGAGGGACTTGAGCCCGCCAGGTGCAGCAGCAGCAGCAGCGGAGGAGGGCGAGAGGAGGGACTTCAGCTGCAAGATGGTTATGAGTGGGGAAGGACGGGAATGGGGGAAAGAGTAAGGGTTTTTTTTTTGTGGGGAAGGAAAGGGAGGATCAACGAGGTGATGGAGAGGGAGTGTGGGGGGAAGGAATGACGCTTTACAAGAAGATGCAGCACGAGGGCTTGATGGTGAATGGAGGTACTCGATGATGGGCATTGGGCACTCACCACGCGAGAGAAGAACGACGTGTAGAGAGCAGGGATCTGAGGAGATACCAAGTCCTTCGCGCCGCCAGCTGGATTGGTGGCAAGAGTAGCAGTACCGGCAGTCGCAGCACCCGCAGCAGTGGCACCCCCCAGGCCCCTGCCATCCACTTGCATAGCATCGCCAGCTGCTGCTGCTCCTGCTGCTCCTGCTGCTGAAGCATCTTGTGCCGATGCGGGTGATGACGACGTTGGTGGGGGTGCAGGGAGAGCAGGGACGTTGGAGGAGGAGGAGGAGGAGGAGGAGGAGGAGGGCGGAGGGGAAGAGTGATCCAGTGCGAGAGCATGCAGCACGGAGAGCACAACCTGCGAGCCCTGGTGTGTTGGGAAACGGGAATGGCGGGGGGCAAGGGGTACGAGTAAGAAATAGTCCATATGGGAATTCTCAGGAGGGAGGGGATGAATGGTCCAGTGCCAGGGCATGCAGCACGGAGAGCACAACCTGTCAGCCCTGGTATGGGTAAAAGTGGCAAAGGGGGAACGGATAGGGGAAGATTGATTCTGGGAATTCTCAGAAGGAAGGCCGAGGCCAAGAGTGGTTAACTGTAAGAGCACGCCGCACGGAGAGCACAACCTGCGAGACGTGGTGTGGGGCGAAGCACGAAACTCACGGGGAGATGGGATGGGGAACGAAGAGGGAAGAACCTGGATGGCGTGGAGAAGCGGACTTGCTTGGAGGGCCCTCCAGGCGATTCTTAAGGATACGACTCACCTTGACCTACTTGTGGTCTGCCAGCAGGTAGACAAGGTAAGAATGATCAACACAACACATCCATGCACTGGTGCGTGGGCTACCATTGCATCAGCCAGCCACTGCTCCGCTCACCTTGACCCGGTTGTAGTCTGCTAGCAGGTAGTTGAGCAACGCATCCAGCACCTGCTGCTGCTGCTGCTGCTGCTGCTGATTGCATCTCAAAGTGCCTCTCTCAAGTCCCACAACTCACCTCTAATCTCAGATCAGCGTGACCTGATTGTAGTCAGCTGGCAGGTAGTTCAACAACGCATCCACCACCTGCTGCTGCTGCTGCTGCTTGCATCATACATCGTTCACCCTTAACCCTAAACACTTAACCCACAACTCACCTCAAGCACTAACTCACCTTGACCCGGTTGTAGTCTGCCAGCAGGTAATTCAACAGCGCATCCAGCACCTGCTGCTGCTGCTCCTCCTCCTCTGCTCCCCTCACCATGCCCACCAGCAGCGCCACCCACAGCCCCGCTTCACCCAGCAGCACCGCTCTGCAACCCCCCGCCACGACTCTGCACACTGCTGCCTGCTGAGCTGCAGCCAGCTGGGGCGGCGAGAGTGGAACCAGGGCCACGGGGGTGCGTGGGACCGAGAGGTAGGCTGCAAGGCGGGGAGGGAGAGGGGCGGCTGGAGGACCTACAGGGGTGGAGGGTACTGGCACCAACGCACCAGAGACACCAGAAGCAGCAGCAGAAGAAGCAACAGCGGTGGTGGCAGCAGTAGGAACGATAGCAGATGTGTCAGCAGCAGCAGAAGCAGGGAGGCCAGTCTGCAAGCCTGCGTCTTCTGGCTTGGGGCGTGTGGCATCTGTTGTCCTGTCTGCTGCAGGATGTAGCGGCGGCTGTAGCCCTTGCTCATCCTTCACAGTGCCTGCTACAGCAGCAGCAGCAGCACCAGTGGCCTCCTCTGCCTTGGCCTTCACTCTTCGAGGGTCATGGCGACGCGCACCACCCCTGCCAGCCTCCCTCTTCCCATCACCATCCACCACTCCCTCCTCCTCACCACCACCACCAGCACCTGCACCATCACCACCAGCACCAGCACCATCACCACCAGCACCAGCAGAACCAGCAGCAGCACCAGCACCAGCACCAGCAGCAGCGCCTTCAGCAGCAGCAGCACCCGCAGCGGCAGCAGCGGGAGGGGGAGAGGGAGGGAGGTGCTGCATGAATTCAATGACCAGGTCGGCCAGCATGCCGGGGGGCAGAGAGGCGATCAGAGCATCCACTGCCAGCATGCCCTCGCTGCCCCTCGCCACCAGCGCACTCAGAAGGGTTACCAGCTGCTCCACTGGCAGGGTAGCTGCTGATGGGTCTACGGCTACTGCCTCTGCTGCTGCTGCTGCTGCCGCCGCTGCTGCTGCTTCTGCTGCTGCGGCTGTGTTCCTGTCTCCTCCTGCTCCTCCTGCTGCTGTTGCTGGTGTATTACCAGCAGGAGTGGCTGTGCTGGCTTGGGCAGCAGTGGACGGTCGGATGCGCTTGGAGTCTCGCGTCGCAGCGTCATCAACGGCCTCAGATGCACGCGCACCTGCAGCACCAGCCGTGGCAGCGCCACCGGCGGCATTAGCAGCTGCATCTGCTGAAGCTGAAGCAGCAGCATTGGGACCACTGGCACCAGTGGCAGCAGTGCCACCAGCACCGGCAGCAGTGGCTGTGGTGGTGCCTGGTGGGGTTGCAGCAGCCCCTGTGTCAGCAGCTGCACCCCTCGCTCTCTTCACTCCTGCTGCCTTGGCCTGGCGGAGACGCGTGTGCGGAAAGCACAAGGGGAAGCGCAAAAGAGAGAAGATGGAATAGGGGGAGAGGCAGCAAAGGGCGAGAGGCAGGGAAAACAGAGCATGCGGCAACAACCTCATACATACATACACTGATGCAGGTGCACGGGCACGCATGCGTGCACACGTGCGCACATACACAGACACGCATACTCACCCGTGGATCAGCAGGCCGGCCAGCAGCCTTCCCTGACCCTGCAGACGCCTTTGCTGCTGCTCCCTCGCCCCCCCCACCACCTCCTCCACCAGCAGTAGCAGCACCACTCCCAGCCCCACCACCACTCCCAGCCCCACCACCACTCCCACCCGCACCAGTACCCCCCACAGAAACACCAGAAGCACCAGAGGGACCATCAGCAGCAGCAGCGGCGGCGGCGGCGGCAGCTGCAGCTGCAGAGGCAGCAGCGGCAGAGTTGCGAAGGGAGCGGTCGATGTGCCTTAGAGATGAGTCGACGGCCTCTCCTGCTCCCAGTGACTCCTTCAGGAGTGATGTTAAGCAGTCCCGCCACTGGTGGTGGTGAAGGTGGAGGGGAGAGAGGACAAGGGGGAAGAAAAAAAACGAAGGAGAGGGTTAGAGAGATGGGTTGATGTGCCTTCAAGGGAGGATTCAACGGCCTCGCCTGGTCCCAATGACTCTTTCACGAGCGATGTCAAGCAGTCCCGCCACTGGTGGTGGTGAGGGATGCAACGAGGCAGGGTAGGGAAGAAAAGAGGGATGGTAAATGGGCCAGTCATGTTTTGGGCTAGATTTCACATTCATATGGAACAAACCAGCAGTGGAAACAACACACCTCTACCACAACTGCACCCACACTCACACCCACACCCACACCACACCCACACCCACACCCACACCATACCCAAACTATATACGCATAACCACACCCACACCCACACCCACACCCACACCCACACCCACACCCACACCCACACCCACACCCACACCCACACCCACACCCACACCCACACCCACATCCCCCAACCCACACCAGCAGCCGCTCCCACCCACCTTCATCCCGCCTGGAGCGAGCGGCATGAGCCGCAACATGACAAGCAGCGCCGCCCGCACGCCATGCCTCACACTACCCGACGCCTGCAGCAGCTGCTGCACCACCCCACACCCACTCTCCTCCCCACTTGGCACCGCCACCGGCGCCGACGCCGCTGACGTGGCAGTGGGCGGCACAATCCCCACCAGCGCCGGCACAATGTAACTATAAAGAGCGGGGCAGCGGCGGGCGATACCAGCAAGGCTGCTGGTGAGCGTAAGGAGGAGCGGGGGGGAGAGCGAGGCGACTGCGGGGGGTTGCAGCAGAGAGGTGAGGGCGGAGAGGGAGGCGAGGGACTGGGCTTTAAGCCATGGGTCGGAGTCAGGGTCGGGGAGATGCAACACTCCGTTTGCCATGTCTGTGCCATCCGCCCCGTCCCTTCCGCTGCTCCCGTTCTGCCCACTGCTGCCGTTACCACCACTACCAGCAGCAGCAGAAGAAGAAGAAGCAGCAGCAGTTTTGCCGCCTGGTCGGCCGAGCAGAACGAGCATCTCTGTGAAGCCCACTGCATGCACGCGCACGCTGTCCGGGTACTGCCCTGGCAGCATGTCCCTTATCAGCGGCACCAGCGCTGCTACCTGCTCCCATGCCTCTGACCACGCCTGGGGCTGATCAGAGGGAAGGGGAGTGGAGGGGAGTGGAGGGGAAACCGAGGGGAGGGGACTGGAAATGGATGAGAGTCCGTGTTGTTGGTGTATTGACCTGGCAGGCAGCACTTGCTCATTCACTTCACACGGTCCTAGTTTCGATTGACCTGAGCTGTGACAGTATCGAGGCACATTCACACGGTGCTTCTGATGCACCTCACATGCAACAGGAGCGTCAGCAGCAGCAGCAGCAGCAGAAAAAGGCTCACCTCGCCTGTGACGGGAGTGACAGCAGCGAAGGCGCGTTTAAGGAGGGCGGCAGCAGCGGAGATGGCGTGCTTGACTGCCTTGGTGGTCGCCACAGCCGCGGCGGCCAGGCGCGCGGGGAGAGGCATGAGCGCTGCAGCAGTAGCACTACCAGCAGCAGCAGCAGCAGCACACAACAACAAACCAGAGCCCGTCTCGCCTGTAACAGTAGAGCAGACAGAACGCAGCTCACCTCGCCTGTAACGGGAGTGACAGCAGCGAAGGCGCCTTTGACAAGGGCAGAAGCAGCGGAGATGGCGTGCTTGACTGCCTTGGTGGTCGCCACAGCCGCGGGGGCCAGGCGCGCGGGCAGAGGCGTGAGCGCCGCAGCAGTAGCAGGGGACGGCGCGGGGGGCGCGGAGGCGGCGGAAGGGGGGGGCGCGGGGAGGGGCATGGGCGGACAGGAGCGGATGATGGCGGCGAGCGCGGAGGCCATGAGCGCAGAGGCGTCGCGATGCTTTATGGAAGAGCCGAGGCGGTAGAAGAGCCTGCGGGGAGGAGGGGGCAAGGGGTGGGGGGGGGGAGGGGAGGGGGGGAGGGATTTGGCGGAGAGGGGATTTAGATTAGGGAGGGTGAGTGGCAAGGGCGCGTGCGAGGTGCGAGGTGGCATGGCAGGCACGGCAGCACGACTTCCGGTGGCACGTCTGGTAGTCAGCAGCACAGTAGGCGATCAGCAAGCATACTCATCGTTACGTACAACACTCACTCGACCGAGTTTTTCCGGACGAGAAACGTCGAGTCCGCCTGAAGCTCTAACAGGCGCGGCAGCGCGTCGGGCAGCACGGTCGCGCGCATGTCGGGCGGAAGGCCCGCCAAGTACTCCACCGCCGCCTCCATCCGCTCCGCCTTCTCCTCCGCTCCGCTCCCCGCCTGCAGCTCCGCCAGCATCTCGTCCGCCTTACGCTGCGCCTCCTCCATTGCGCGCGGAGGGGGGGAAGGGGGAGGGTCCGGGGAAGGGGGGTGGAGGGGGCGAGAACGGGAAGCGGAAGCTCCGAACACGGGGAGAAAGAAGGCTCGAAAGGAGGTCTGTTCGCACCGTAGGGTGAAAGCGTTTTGGCTCTATCTAAGTTTAACGGGGTAGTCAATACGGCAAATGCGGGTTGTTGTGACTGTGAACTACGGCAGTGTTGCAGCCGATTAGGTCACTAACGCACGTCCTTCAGCAATCCGATGCTCTCCTTTCAAAGCCCCGCGCTTCGCATCTCTAGAGGTAGAACCTAATGGTGATTCTCGATATGCTACAAACCTACGGACACACCATCGAGTACTTTCGATCCGTTCGCGACACAATAACATCTCATTGGAATACGCATAGGATTCGGCAGCGATCCGGGAAGCGCGAGCTGCGAGCTCATTAGCAGCCGACAGGTTTCCCTATCCGTAAAACGTCGGCGATCATGCGGCTGCTGATTCAAGAGCAGCCTCCTGAAACCTGCCTAGTTTCCTGGGTGGTGTAATCAGAACCAGAATTTGTATTGAGTGGCCTGGACTGAAGGAGGAAAGTGTGGGGTTCAGGGAAACAATTGCGGTAGAATATTTGTCTGAAGCGGTGAAGTAAGTTTTTTTAGCGAAAGCAAACTTGGAGAGACTGCCTGGATAGGGTAATTGGGAGTTGCTCCTAGCAACTCGGTAGGACGTGAAGAAACGTCGTCGCAGTGTTACAAATCTAGCATAGCGAAGAAGATATACCAGCGCTTGAGCAAGTAACGATTTTCGTCACATATTCGAATCTTGTCGCAGTTCGCAACTCTCGCTAAAAGAACCCTAGATTCTGGTCTCCCGAACACCCACGACTGAAATAAATTCGACTCTCTCCCTCCCTACCCATCCTTCTTTTCTCAGTATTCCCTTACGTTTTCCCTCGACTGGGTTTCCGCGTCGCCACTTACAGGCTTCTGGACTCTGGGCAGGAGGAATATTAGCTGTCGGCCATATCCTGCAACGAGTACCACAAGCGCTTGTGCAGCGCTCTACGTCCTGATTTATCTAGGATTGAGACGTTGTAAGGATCCGACATCTCAGCACATGCTAGTTTGCTAGACGTTCCTTCGCATAAGGCCGTTCAACATGCCAGGCGAGACGCTAGCTCTTCCGGCGCCGCCGCCTGGCGGCTTGAAAGACGCTACGCCGTCAGTCCTGACGGCTGAAGAACGGTCTGGGCAGCAGAAACCGGCAGAGAAGCCGAAACCGGTGGTGGTTGCGACGCAGACGAAGACGATCGGCATCATTCACCCTCCCCCCGATATTCGCAGTATCGTCGACAAAACCGCCACCTTCGTCGCCCGAAACGGTCCGGATTTTGAGAAGAAGATTCTTGCCGCCAACAAAGGGAACGTCAAGTTTAATTTCCTCACGCCCACCGATCCCTACCATGCGTACTACCGGCACAAGATTAACGAGCAGCTTGCGCAGCTTAATCTTCCGGCTCAGCCCGAACCTATAGCGTCCGAGCCTGGTGCAGGTTCGGCAGCTGGCTCGGCAGCCGGAGCTCCTGCCGGGGCGGCTCCGGGAGCAGCCGGGGCTGCAGCTGCGGTTGTCAAGCCTGCAGGCCCCGCAGGGCCTTTTCCGGAGGCTGGCAAAGACGCGGCGGCAGCAGGGACTTCGGCAGCAGCGGCGAAGCTTCCGGATCTGCCCGAACCGGAGCAGTACACGGTTCGGATTCCGGAAGGCATGTCCGGGCAGGATTTGGACGTTATCAAGCTGACCGCGCAACTCGTGGCGCGAAACGGAAAGACGTTCTTAACGGGACTGATTAGCCGCGAGCACATGAACCCGCAGTTCAATTTCCTCAAGCCCACGCACAGCCTATTCACCTTCTTCACCGCTCTCGCGGACGCGTACTCCAAAGTACTAATGCCTCCTAAGGAGGTATTAGACAAGGTGAAGCGCGACGCGGGCCCGGGTGGGCAGGCCGCGATCATGGCGCGGATCCAGACGCGGCTCGATTACGAGAAGAAGCAGGAGAAGGCGCGGAAGAAAGCGGAGGACGAGATCGAGCAGGAGCGATTGCAGATGGCTCTAATCGACTGGCACGATTTCATAGTCGTAGAGACTATCGAGTTCGCGGACGACGAGGAGGCGGAGCTGCCGGTTCCGATGACTATAGAGGAGGTGATTAGAAAGAGCAAGCAGCTCGGCGCGGACGAGGAGCTCGAGGCGGAGGACGCCGCGGCGGTCGCGGCGGCGGAGGCGGGCGCGAAGCCGGGGACGAAGGCGGCGGCGGCGGCGGCGGAGAAGGCGAAGGGGGAGAAGGAGGCGGCGCAGACGATGGACGCGGAGGAGATGAAGCTGGTGGAGGAGGGCATGCGCGCCGCGGGGATCGCGGAGGGGGAGGGGGGGAAGGGCGCGGAGAAAGGGGAAGGGGAGAAGGCAGAAGGGGAGAGGGGAGGGGAGGAGATGGAGATGGGGGAGGAGGGAGGTGCGCCTGCTGGTGTTCCTCCGCCCCCACCACCGCAGATGCCACCGCCGCCGCCGCCTGCTGAAGTGGAGGAGGTGAGTGGGACGTGTGTGCAGGGGGAGTGGTCAGGGCAGGGCTGGGTTCGCTCGTTTGTTGGAAATGTTCGTTTGTGATGAGCTGGGTGGGGAATTCCAGTGCTTTGGTCCTGGGAATGCGCATTGTGCGAACTAGAAGTGGCCCACCCACACTATCCCCTCTCTGTCCGCCCACCCCCTTTTCCCCACCCCAACTCCCCTCTTCCCCCCCCTCTCCCCCCTCTCCCTCCTCTCCCCCCCTCCCTCTTTCCCTCTCTCACCAGAACGAGATGGACATGGAAGAGGAGGAGGAGGAGGCACCAATGCGCATCGTGCGCAACTGGAAGCGACCAGAGGAGCGAGCAGCGGCCGAGCAAGACCCTACCAAGGTGGTGGTGTCCCCGATCACGGGCGAGCTGATCCCAATAGCGGACATGGCGGAGCACATGCGCATCTCGCTCATCGACCCCAAGTACAAGGAGCAGAAGGAGCGCATGCTCGCCAAGCTGCGCGAAAACACCCTCGCCAACGACGACGAGATCTCCAAGAACATCGTCGGGCTGGCCAAGACCCGCCCGGATATCTTTGGGACCACGGCGGAGGAGGTTTCGGAGGCAGTTCGGGCGGAGATGGAGAAGAAGAAGGACGAGGGCGCGCCGAGCCGGGTCATGTGGGACGGGCATACTGCCAGCATCGGCCGAACCGCCACCCAGGCGTTGCAGCAGAGCCTCGCGCAGCCGCCCGCTGCGGAGAAAAAGGACGAGCCGAGCCGCCCGGTTTCGGGCCCACAAGCCCCGGCTCCGTCTCCTCCTGCTGCTCGACCTGCTGCTCTCCCGCGCCCTCCTGCCGGGGGTCCTCCTCCCGGTATGCAGCACATGCGCCCCGGAGGCAACATGCCTCCTCCCATCGCCACCATGGCTGCTTACGGCATGCCCCGCATGCCCATGCCAGGCATGCCAGGAATGCCGGGCATGCCGGGTATGCCTGGTATGATCAACCCCATGCTGATGGCTCAGAACCAAGCTGCTGCTGCGGCGGCTACTGCAGCGGGAGGGATGTTTGGCATGCGGCCGCCCATGATGGCCCCAGGGCAGCCAGGGATGGTGCCGGGAGGGTTCCCGGGTTTCCCAGGGGGCATGCCCATGGGTGTGCCGATGGGGATGCCGGGAGGGGTGCAGATGGGTATGGGGATGGTTCCGGGGGGTATGATGCCTGGAGGTGCTGCGGCAGCGGCAGGAGGGGGGGGTGGAGGGGAGGATGAGCATGATGCGAAGAGGCAGAAGACAGAGGAGAATCTGATCCCCGAGAATGTCTTCCTCGCACAGCACCCGGTCAGTGTCCCCATGTGCTTGTCTTTTCCCTCCCACGCTTTCCTCACCTTGTTTCTTGCATTTCGAGTGTTGCATCTTCTTTCTCCTTTTTCCTGGCCAACCAGGTTCTCACATCACCACACATCTGATCACAAGTTTCGAGATTCCGTTTGACCCCTGTTTTTTCTTTCACAATTTTTCTTAACTTTGTTCTATTCAGGGCCCAGTGCGAGTGGTGGTTATGCTGCCCTCAGTAGAGGGCGAGCCGGCACTCAACGGGCAAAAGGTGGAGGTGCTGGTGTCGTCACTCAGCGAATCAACTGGTGCCTTCAAAGAGCACATTGCGCAGGCTCTGGGTGGCAGCGTGCCAGCCAACAAGCAAAAGCTCAGTGGCAAGGCAGGTTTCTTCAAGGATTCGCTTTCGCTGGCGTACTATAATGTTGGGCCTGGGGAGGCAGTGGTTATGAGCTTGAAGGAACGTGGAGGCAGGAAGAAATAGGGTTGGGCAGCGTACAGCTGGATGTAGCACTGTCCTGTAATTTCTTCCTGGTGTGGCTTATGGACTCAAGGGTTGGTGAAATACAGGTGCAAAAGTCTTAATATGTGGTGTGTGAATCTAACTGTTTCCTAGTGTAACCAATGTTGTCGCGAATTCGCTTGTTCCGAGGGCAGATTTTTCCTGCATGTCATACCTGGTTGAAAGAATGCCACGCGCAGGGTTAGGCTGGGCAGATTCCAGCATTGATCCCAAATCTGCGGTAACCACGTCAGCTGTTTTAGCCATATGCCGCCACGTCAACCCTTTCGCCACCACTCTGAAGCTGGCCTGGTTACGCGCATCTCACGCACACCAGTTGCCAGGGTACAGACCATATCCGTCAACACAGTGCGATCGGCTGAGTGACTGGAAAGTCTTTGCGAACAAACACGAGCTGCGCAAAAGGTCATATGAAGTAACCACGTTCGCCATGACTGAAAAAACGTCTGAACAAGCTTCTCCCAGGCTAGCGAAAATGAGTTGACTCAATTAGCAGGGCCGTAGTAGACTTGTCATGATTGTAGTACTAGATTCCGCCTCATCAGTTCTGTGGAGGTCTGCATTACACGATAATTTCGAGGTTGCGTACTTCGCTGTTTCTTACTACCGCTGTTGTGTTGGTTGAACAACTAGCGTCTCGGACCCTGCTTAGCAATCACTGAGGCGATTTTATTATACCAATTATCCAAGCGACCGTGAAGCGTTTCGGCTAATCAACGGTGAGATGGAGCTCGCCACAAATCAAACGGTGCTGACGTGCAGCATGATAGCTTCCCCGCAATACCGTTGTCCTATCAGAAACCAGTCCGGCACCGTTCATGCTCGTCCACATTCAATCCACCCTGTCGCTTTACCCTCTCGCCCACGACACGCCTTACGCCTAGTGGACCGTACCCAAACGAGACGCGGTAGTAAATTTATAGCTAGTGCAGGCAACATTTGTTTCGGCAATACCGGTGCGGCTATCACCAGTGCGAATGGTCTTCAGCGGCGAAGAGACAGTTTCTTCACAGGACATACCCGTTTACGAGCGAATTCGTTAACAACAGTTCCTGGCTTCATTGACGCAGACTCGCCACTGCGCCTTCATGTCTCGGCTTCGGGAAACAGGGAACATGTGAGTCATTCTTATGTGCGTCTTTGTTGTGTGAACGTTTTTCTTTTTCTAGTTGAAGATTATGTTGCTCCAGGACATGAACGGAGACACTGTCCGTTTTGTGATGAGGAGAGTAGGTTTCGGGAAAGCTGAAATGGGCTGTTTAGCACGAAGTTAGTTGTGAATTTGGTACGGAAGTGTGTCTGAGTCGACGGTACGTATTCTCATTTGTTCTCTTCATTTCCTACGCTCGCGTTTCTGCAGTTCCGTCTCCTAATCTTACATTTTTCCGTTGCTCGAGTTTTTTCTTCCCTCAAGCTGGTACCACAAATAGCATTACTGTTTTTTTTGTTTCATCATTTTCTTTTTCTTACTCTCCTTTGCTACTGCCAGCAACCCAAGGCGATACCGGGAGCAGCAGAGGCGTCAGCATTATCCGGTACCAACAGCGGGAGTGAGAGTGACAACGGCTGGAGTGGCTCTGCCGCGAGTGACAGCGAAGACGAGGGCAGCAGCAGCAGCAGCGGCAGCGACGGCGAGTGGCTCATTGTCCGCAACCCGCTGGAAGCTCAACGGCCGAAACTGAAGCGGAAGTCTTGGGGCAAGCGGAAACACCTGTCGCCGTTTTACCTGGGGAGAACGGCCACTCTTCGCAAGGGCAAGACCAGTCGCAGTAGCAGCAGCAGCAGCAGCAGTACTGGCAAGGCTGTCACCAGCAGCAGCAGCAGCACGGCCGAGATATTGATAGACTCGTCTGGGTCCGAGGTCAGCATTGTGCGAGAAACCAGTAGCGAGTCCTTTGTAACGGGTATAGGAGAAGTGCTGACAGCGCGAGGGCGAGGCGAGGTGGAGTCGGAGGATGATGAAAGAAGCGATGAAGGTACTAGGTTCGTTACCACGGGGTCTGGTGCGGTGCTGTCTGAAACTGACAGGGGCGGGGATGCAGGAGAAGGGGTGGGAGGAAGAACAGAGGGGGGAATGGAGTCAGGAGGAGGTGGTGCATGGACTGCTGATGTTGCTGGATCCACGGAGGGATGGCTGGACACGGGAAATGGAAGCAGCAGCAGCAGCAGCAGCAGCAGCAGCAGCAGCGTGAGCATGAGCAGCACGCTATCCAGTATGTCTGGTAGCTTTACCTCTCTGGGAAATGGTGGGGTGTATAGCGATGACAGTGACAGTGAGGAGGGTGACAGTCCTAGTGAGTATGGCAGCTCTATTGCTGCAAATGCAAGCACCCTCAGCGCCGAGGTTCCCAGCACCAGTAGCATTACCAGCAGCAGCAGCAGTGCGAGCAGCGCGGACGGTGGCAGCAGCAGTGACTCGGAGGGCGAGTTCATCGGGGGGGACATGTGCGCGTCGGCGACGGGCGTGGTGCGTGTGCAGTCGCGGAAGAAGGCGGAGATGTATCTGGTGCGTACGGACGGCATCAGCTGCACTCGCGAGAAGGTCACCGCCTCCACCCTCGCCTTCTCCCACCCCTCCACGCAGCAGCAGATGCTCATGTGGCGCACGCGGCCCCGCACGGTGCTGCTGCTGAAGAAGCTCGGGACGGAGCTCATGAGTGAAGCCATGGAGGTGAGGAGGGGAAGTTCCGGGTTGGGAGAGGGGGGGAAGGAAGTGAGTGGGCTAGGAGGGGGAGGTTGGGAGTGAGAGAGGGGGGGAAGTGAGTGAGTGGGAGTAGGAGAAGGGAGGAGAATAGTTTGCAGGTACCCTTCTCCCACCCCAGCACGCACCAGCAGATGCTCATGTGGCGCAGGCGGGCGCGCAGACGGTCTTACTGGTGAAGAGCTCGGCACAGAGCTCAGGAGATAAAAGTGCTGTTTTGAGACGTCTCAAAACAAAACACCTTTATGATGTGGTGGGCGCGGGCGGTCTTGCTGGTGAAAAAGCTCGCCACGGAGCTCAGGAGTGAAGCCATGGAGGTGCGCATGTGGCGTGACAGTGCGACTGGTGGTCGCATGACGGAGTCCCAGAGGTCCTCCCCTCCTTTCTGCACCATGTCGAGAGCATGAACGAGAAGCCTTGGATTGCTCGTAACCCCACCTCAACTCCCCGTATCACATTCCATTCCCGTTATAATCACATCACACCAGGTGGCGCGGTTCCTACAGCGCGAGGAGGGCATGAACGTGATGGTGGAGCCGGTGCTCTTATTATTCAATACCCCTCATTTAACACCCATCCCCGTTATAATCACATGACACCAGGTGGCGCGGTTCCTGCAGCGCGAGGAGGGCATGAACGTGATGGTGGAGCCGGAGCTGCACGACACGCTCTCCCGCATGCCCGGCTTCGGCTTCCTGCAGACCTTCTACGCCCAGGACACCAGGTGGGGGGTGCTACGCCCAGGACACCAGGTGGGGGGTGCTACGCCCAGGACACCAGGTGGGGGGTGCTACGCCCAGGACACCAGGTGGGGGGTGCTACGCCCAGGACACCAGGTGGGGGGTGCTACGCCCAGGACACCAGGTGGGGGGTGCTGCGCCCAGGACACCAGGTGGGGGGTGCTACGCCCAGGACACCAGGTGGGGGGTGCTACGCCCAGGACACCAGGTGGGGGGTGCTGCGCCCAGGACACCAGGTGGGGGGTGCTACGCCCAGGACACCAGGTGGGGGGTGCTACGCCCAGGACACCAGGTGGGGGCTGCTGCGCCCAGGACACCAGGTGGGGGGGTGCTACGCTTAGGACACCAGGTGGGGGGTGCTACGCCCAGGACACCAGGTGGGGGGATATGAGGGTGTTACTCCCAAAACACCACATGGGACGGCGTGGGGAGGGAGGGGGGTGCTACTTCCAGGACACCAGGTTGGGGCGGGGTGTGGGGGGGGGAGGGAGGTGCTACTTCCAGGACACCAGGTTGGGGCGGGGTGTGGGGGGGGGAGGGAGGTGCTACTTCCAGGACACCAGGTTGGGGCGGGGTGTGGGGGGGGGAGGGAGGTGCTACTCTCAAGTCACCAGGTGGGGCGGGGTGGGAGGGGAGGGGGGTGCTACTCCCAGGACACCATGTGGGAGTGGGACCAGGTGAGGGTAGGGGGTGCGAGCAACGCTACAGTCAGGACACCAGGTAAGGGGAAGCTAATCGGGCAAGTTGAAGGAAAGCACACCAGGTGTAGGAGGCGGAGGAGAAGCATGACGGGGCTGAGCATCACGCTTCTGAGCTGGAGCAGCAGGTCGCACAGCTAGCCGGTGATATGACTGCAGCGGAAAGTGAGCTGGCGGACATGACCCATGGAGATGAGCAGAGGGACCCCATGGAGGCGGAGGCCGACCGGTTGAGAGCACTGGCGGAGAGAGGCACCGGCACAACCACCTGCTGCTCTTTTTGAGACGTCTCAGAAATTTACTTCCTACACCGGTTGAGAGCACTGGCGGGGGGAGGCATCGGCACAGGCACCTGCTGCTCCAGCTTAGAAGCGTGATGCTCAGCCACCTCACGCTTCCTCTCCGCCTCCCACGGCTGGTGTGCTTGCCTGACACCAGAATCGCTAACAAGATTGTGGCTCCTGCTTACCCTCACCACCCTTGCGCCCCTCCCCTCCCCGCCTCCCCTCCTTCCTACCTTTCTGCGTGTGTAGGTGGACTTCGTGGTGTGTCTTGGGGCGGGGGGAACGTTCAGTGGCTGTGAGCTGACGTTGTTATGTGCCCTCTGCTGCCTCCTCGTGCTCCTTCCCTGAACTCCCACCCCACCAGCAAGCTGCACGAGAAGGTGGCCTTCGTGGTGTGTCTGCGGGCCGACAAATGGATGGGGACTGTGAGCTAACGTTGATTCCTTTGTTCCTGTTTTGACCGTCCCCACCTCTCCACGACCTCCCGCGCCCCACCAGCAAGCTGCACGAGAAGGTGGACTTTGTGGTGTGTCTGGGGGGCGACGGGGTCATCCTGCATGCGTCCAACATCTTCAGCTCCTCCGTGCCGCCCATCGTCTCCTTCAACCTCGGCTCCCTTGGCTTTCTAACAGCACACCCGGTACGCACATGCCCTGAGGAGCAATTCGCTATGCAATGCACCCACTCAAAGCACTCACTAGGCGGTGATTTGCGGGCAGGAGCAGACTGCCGGCGTGTACATAACGCTGCGCATGCGCCTCAAGTGCGAGCTCATCAAGGGGGGGACGGACTGCATCCTATGTTCAATTCAATTCCCCACTCTCTACCGTTCCATCTCTCTCCCACACTCCCCTTATCTCTCTCCCTCACTCATGGCCGTCCTTACTCGCAGTACGAGCAGTACAAGCAGGACCTCAAGGCGGTGATTCACGGGCAGGAGCAGACGGCGGGCGTGTACATAACGCTGCGCATGCGCCTCAAGTGCGAGGTGGTGAAGGGCGGGCAGGCGGTGCCGGGAAAGGTGTTTGACGTGCTCAACGAGGTCGTCGTGGACCGCGGCTCCAACCCCTATCTCTGCAAGATTGAATGCTACGAGCGCAGCAAGCTCATCACCAAGGTGAGCAGGCAAGCAGGAGGTGGTGGTGGTGGTGGTGGTGGTGGTGGTGGTGGTGGTGGTGGTGGTGGTGGTGGTGGTGGTGGTGGTGGTGGTGGTGGTGGTGGTGGTGGTGGTGGTGGTGGTGGTGGTGGTGGTGGTGGTGGTGGTGGTGGTGGTGGTGGTGGTGGTGGTGGTGGTGGTGGTGGTGGTGGTGGTGGTGGTGGTGGTGGTGGTGGTGGTGGTGGTGGTGGTGGTGGTGGTGGTGGTGGTGGTGGTGGTGGTGGTGGTGGTGGTGGTGGTGGTGGTGGTGGTGGTGGTGACTTCTGAGGCGACTCAAAGGCACGATCAAGTGCAGCAGCCGCTGCCTGCATGGTGCCTCTTGACCCCTACCTTTGCAAGATTGAATGTCGCGATCTCATAGCCCAGGTGGGGCTGCGTGCGGCAGCGCAGAGCCAAGGTGATTCACATGCTGTGCTATGTGCGCTTCATCTTCTCTCCATGTGCTCTCTTCCCTCCATGTGTTCTCTGCTTTTCATGTCAACGCCCATGGGCTCTTCTCCAGCTATTTGTCCTTGCTCTTGCTTTCTGCCTATTACATGTCGTTCTAAGGACCTCGCTCGCCTCTTTGCCTGCGGCTGCAAGTGGACAGGGTGATAGTGGCAACGCTCACGGGCAGCACTCTTAGTGCCCTCTCCGGCCCCCTCACCCCTGCCTCCCCTCGCCTGCCTCCCCGCCCCTGCCTCCCCACCCCTGCCTCCCCTCTCCTTTTTCCTGCCTCTCACCTCTTTCCCGGAAGGTGCAAGCGGATGGGGTGATAGTGGCAACCCCCACGGGCAGCACTGCATACTCCACTGCTGCTGGTGGCTCAATGGTGCGTGGGGAATGGATGAGGTGGGGGAAGAGGGGTGAGGGGGGGGGAACGAGTGTACATTGCTGTCCGTGCATGCATGCAAGCGGATGGGGTGATAGTAGCAACCCCCACGGGCAGCACAACGTACTCCACTGCTGCTGGTAGCTCCATGGTGCATGGGGAACGGGTGTGGGATGGACATGTGTGCGGCATGGGTATGGCAGGAAAGAGGTGTTGGGGGAGAGGTGTGTGGGGGAGAGGTGCGTAGCTGGGCGTTCGTATATGGGTGTGTGAGTGTGTTTGTCTGCATGTATGTGTGCGTGTCTTGATGTTTATCTCCTCCTAAATCCCTCATCTCCCTCTCCGGTGGAGTTCAACGTTTCTCTCATTCCTATTCCGCTGCTCCATTCCCCTTACCTCCTTGTCTCGAGTCACATTCCTCTCTCAACCCTTCCTCTCTTCCTCTCCTTTTCCTTCCATTCAGTCCTTGTCTATTCACCTCTCCCATCCCTTACCACCGCTCCCAACCCACGCAGGTGCATCCCAACGTTCCATGCATGCTCTTCACGCCCATCTGCCCACACTCCCTCTCCTTTCGCCCCATCATTCTGCCCGACTCCGCCCTCCTTGAACTTCGAGTAAGTCCCTGTGCACCCACAGGGTCTTTCCCTGGCCGCCGTGTGGACTCCAGCCACTTCCCATCTACTGTGTCACCTGTTAGCTGCTCTTTTGCATGCCCGATGAATTTCAACTCAACCTCTGACGTCATTTGTTTCTCTCCTCTCCTCGCATCTTCCTCTGTGCAGCTTCCTTCTCCTCCTTGTCTCTCCTTGTGCCTCATCCTATCGCCCTTAATATTCTCTCTCATGTTTTACCTGTCTCCCTTGATCCTCCCTCTATTCCCTTCTCAACCCCCGCCAGGTGCCTGCTGATGCACGCAGCAACTGCTGGGTGTCGTTTGACGGGAAGAAGCGGCAGCAGCTGTCACGGGGAGACTCGGTGCGCATTTCCATGAGCGCACACCCCGTGCCCACTGTCAACAAGCGTGACCAAACCGACGACTGGTTTGCCAGCCTCGTCAGGTGCCTCAACTGGAACGAGCGCATGGAGCAGAAGGGATTCAATACTGTATTTTAGAGATATGTATGTGTGTTTGTGTGAAAGGAGAGTTGTTCGTTGGGTTGGGAACGTAAGGTTCTCATCGCTGGCTGAATTGCTGCCTGAATTGTTGAATAGCCAGGTGCACCATACCGTACGGTATTTGGGATTGTTTTGTTGTGCATGCACGATTGTAGTAAGGATTGATGCAAAGTGTCAAGAGAGTGTGGAGAGAGCTAATGTAAGGAATTTTCTCGATATTCCTTAGCGCACCTTGCAACATCGCGTATAGCAGCAGCCGTTGTTTGCCCGTTACTGCAAACGGGTGCTGACTTTGAGCGCATCGAGAATTAGAACGAGAATGATTGAACTATGAAACAGTTGGATACAAGTACTAACCCGAATTGGGTTGTACCCCTTATGGGCTACCCCACTACAGCCTACACATATGAATAAGCTATAATGTTCTGACACACCCTCACAGGCAAAGTGGGGGAGAACATGTGGTCACAAAACCAGCCAAGTAAAACAAAGAAAACTCAAGGTGGATCACAAAGTCACCACACAATCCGAGCACAAGAACAAGGCCAGTTCACATGCAAGATCATATATGTAAACGTAAACAAGCAAGTGCAGGTATAGAAAGAGTACAGTACAAACAAGATCAAGAAGTGAGCAAGTGAGGCCAGGTAGGCACAAGACCTGGCAAAGTACAGAAGCGCTGATGATCACAAGGCGGAAGGGCCTTGCTGAAGAAATCAGCAGTGATGGCCTCTGAGGCCAAGTAGGTGAGGTGGAGCTGACCACGCTGCTGCAGCTCACGAGCCAAGAAGTAGCGGAGAGCAATGTGCTTCGTTCTGTGCTCCAGTCTATGCTCCCGACACAAGGCCAGCATGGCCTTGTTGTCTACGTACAGAACTGGAGGAGAACGAGGCCCCTCTCCTAGGTCAGTCAGCACGTAGGTGAGCCAGCGTAGCTCCTGTGCAGCCATGGCCCCTGTGTAGATCTCAGCCTCTGAGCTGGAGCTGCGAACAGAAGACGAGCGGGTAGACCGCCACGAAACAGAGCCAGAGCTAAGACTGGAGGTGTAACCCTGTGACGACCGCTGCAGAGCCTGGTCGTCAGCCCAAGAAGCATCAGCGTGACTTGTGAGGACCACTCGACGTCGCCCTCCAAGCACTAGCCCCATGCCCGACGTACTGCACACGTAGCGCAACACCCTCTTCGTTGCAGCCATGTGCTCTGGTCGGTGTCTCCCAGGAGCAACATAGCGTGCCAAGATGCTAAGAGGGTATGCAAGGTCAGGTCGTGTGCAGGTCATCAGGTACATGAGGCAACCCACAAGCTCTGGATACGGGCTACTCGGCTCTACGGACTCATCCAAAAGCAGAGCTGAGAGCGAGTGGCGAGTAGACAGAGGAGTGGCCTGAGGCGAAAAGTACGTGAAGCCGAAGCGCTGAAGGACCTGCTGCACCATGTGTGACTGAGTCAGGGTAATGGTGCGCTGTGCTCTGTCGCGGGTGATATGTAAGCCAAGGTAGCTGCGCAGTTCACCCAGGTCTGTGCACGTGTGTCTCTTCTGCAGCTCCGACTTCACGTGGGCGAGTCCAGCAGTGTCAGCAGTGGCAAAGACCAAGTCGTCGACGTACACGAGGATGTAGAACGGCGGCAAAGAGGTGTCGGTGCGCAGAAACAGGGACGGGCCGGCAGTAGAAGGAGCAAACCCAAGAGCCGCAAGTGTAGTCCTCACTGTGTCGTGCCACTCACGTGGCGCCTGGCGGAGACCGTAGACTGGCCGCCAGAGGCTCCACTGGGTACCAGGGGGAAACGACCCAAAGAAGCCAGGTGGGCGGCGCAGCCAGATCTCCTCGTGCATGCTGCCCTGCAGGAAAGCTGTGCTGAAGTCAAGAGAGTGAAGCTCGTAGTCGCGCTGAGCGGCTATATGCAGTAGCACCCGAAGAGTGGTCATCTTCGGGGTGGGAGAGAAGGTCGGAAAGTAGTCAACTCCCTGCCGCTAACTGAAGCCTCGAGCCACGAAACGCGCCTTGAAGACAGGCGGAGAGCCCGGCGGCCGCTTCACCCTGAAAATACACATGCCACTGACGATGTTCACCCCAGGTGGGGGAACCTCGTCGACGTAGGTGCCTGTGGACTTCGAGAAAGCCATCTCTGTGTCCATGGCCAACTACCACTAAGAGGAGTAGGGACACTCGATCGCCTCAGCGTACGATCGAGGAGTCAGGGATGTCTAGTGCATCCGGGTCTCCCTCAGGGGCAAACAGCGGGGACACGAGATGGGGCAAACCAGCAGCAAAGCACTGGAACTCCTCCTGCCTGTCCTCAAGGACGTCCGTGCTAAGAGCACACTCACCCCCAACGGACGGAGGACAGACAGACTCAGACTCAGCAACGAGACTAACAGCGTAGTCTAGACGACAGCGAGCAGCGAAGTCGACAAGCTCAGCAACTAGGGCAGACGCACCAGTGGTCTCAAAGGAGGGGTCACTGACAACAGTAGAAAGGAGACGCGTGACCGAAGGACTAGCAGCACGAAGGGAGTCAGACTCCGGGTCAGCAAGAGTAGGAAGAGAGGACTCGGGAGGAGACGGCAACGGGACACGCAGAGGAGTAGTGGAAGGACGCAGCGCCATTTGGTGTGTGTCGAGGACTGCAGGAGGACGCGGACGCGCAGTATGACCACTGGGCGAGCAGTACGAACAAGCAATGCAGGACGAGACGCAGGCGCACATCGCTCAGCAAGACCTCCAGTAGGACCAGTGTAGGGAGAAGGAGCAGGTAGAGGGGAGGCGGGTTGTAATTGTGACAGCGTCTGGACAGACTGTGGAAACTCTAAGGAAGGAGCAGGACCAGGAGAGAGCAGGAGACCAAGAACCTGCTCCAGGAGCAGAACGAAGTACGGCCTCGGCCGCTCAGCGCCTCCAAAACCTGAAAGAACAGCACCAGTATCCCAAGCGGTAGCACCAGCGCCAGCAGCACCTCCAGCTCCAACATCGTCAACTCCAGCACCCTCAGAAGCACCAGCGCCAGTAGCACCGCCAGCGCCAACACCCCCAGCAGCTTCAGCTCTAGCAGCACCAACTCTAGTAGGACCGTCAGCTCCACCAGCCTCAGCAACACCCCCAGACGCACAAGCGCCAGTAGAAACACCAGCGCCAACACCCCCAGCAGCTCCAGCTCCAGCAACACTAGTACCGCCAGCAACTCCAGCAGGACTAACTCCAATAGCCCCACCAGCACCTCCAGAAGCACCAGCGCCAGTCGAAACACCAGCGTCAACACCCGCAGCAGCTCCAGCTCCAGCAGCACCAGCACCGTCAGCAGCTCTAGTAGGACCAACTCGAGTAGCCCCAGTAGCACCTCCAGTCCCAGCAGCACGTCTCCAGCGGCGGGCAAACCACTCGCACAGCTCCTGTAGAGAGAGCGGCTCCCTCCTCAACGTAGCACCGCCGGCAGCCACACGAGCAGACCCACTGCCCCCAGGCTCCGCACCCCCAGGCTTAGCACCCCCAAGCTCAGCACCCCCAGGCTCAGCACCCCCAGTCTCAGCACCCCCAGACTCAGCACCCCCAGACCCGGCACCCGCAGGCTCAGCATCTCCTAGCAGCACCAGAGTCAACAGCTACCTTTACAGGCTCGACTGCGTCTACCTGGGACACACCTGATGGGACAGGACCCTGAGGGGGGAGGGGGTCTACCGAGGGAGGACCTGGCACAAGGAAGAGCGGTGGCGGGGGGAGGGGCGCAGTGCGGTAGGGGAAGAGACGGTAGTAAGGCACCGACTCGTCAAAGGTGACGTCCTGGGAGGACAAAACACGGCGCGAGGTGGGGTGGTAAAACTGCCAACCAGGCGCATCAGGGGGGAAGCCCAGGAAGAAGCAGGGAACAGCACAGGGGGACAGCTTGTCCGCAGACAAGTCGCGGACAAATGGTGAGCAGCCGCATGGATCATGGACGTACGAGCGATGCCCATGACCATGCCAATGCAGCACTCAGCAATCCCATTTTGCTGTGGAGACGCCGGAAGCGTGAACGTCTGGCGGATGCCCTGTGCACGACAGAAGGCTCCCAGATGGGCGGGGGAAAACTCCCCGCCTCTGTCAGAGTGCAGACGCAGAACAGAAAAGTCCGAGCCGAAACTCTCTCTGAGCTGGAGACGAGCTGCATGGATCCATTCAATCAACACCTCAATGACATCACCCTTGCTACGCAAGAGGAAGACTGTTGTGTAACGCAAGTAGTCGTCAACCACCAGCAGAAAGTACCGCTCTCGCCCCTACCCACTGACGCGGGCTGGGTCCCACACGTCCATGTAGAGAGTTTGCAGCGGAGCCTCTGTCGGAGGAGTGAGGGGAGGCGCGCTGTCACCCCTCCATGCAGGAGACGCAGGTAGGGCCAGGCCCCGGAGGAAGGGGAGGGAGAGACGGAGGGAGACCAGAGACAAGGACACGGGAGGCCATGCCTCGGAGACGAGGCAAGGAGGGGTGACCAAGGTGGTGGTGCCAAAGGAGAGTCTGGTGGGACAGCAAACGAGACGAGCAAGGGGCAGACTCAGGACCAGACCTGGACGCCGCAGCAAACACCTGACTCGACGCAGCTACCTGGACAGACTCAGCAGCAGGAGGAGACTCAGTAGTATGGGTGTACAGGCTCAACCCTGGCCGACGGGTGAACGTGGCCAAGTGTCGGCCTGTCCGAGCACACGTGCAGTGGGTCACCCACTGACTCGCAGGAGTGAACTGATCAACCCCCCTATCTTGTAGGTCCACTCCACTCACCAAGTTCGTAGAGAACGAGGGGAGGTAGAGACCAGACAGGGTGCCAGAGGGGGGTGCCGGGCACGGTAGGACAGTAGAGAAGCTAGCAAGGATAGGACCCCCAGAGGGGTCTGCCAGGGAGACTGCAACCGGCCGACTGAGCGGCGTAAGAGTGGTGCGGTCTCGAAAGAAGGAGCGGGACGCATCCGAGTCCAGGGTGAAGGTGTGGAAGGCCTGAGCCGATGTAGTACCTGAGAGAGCAGACTCACCAGCACCAGGGGCAGCAGATGCAGTAGCACCTGGGGCAGCAGACGCACTAGCACCTAGAGCAGCAGCCTCACCAGCACCTTGAGCAGCGGCCTCAATGCCCGGGTAAGGCGGTACACACAGGAAACAGGCACCCTCAACACTAGTATCAACAGCATACATGGCAGCAAGAATAGCATCTAAGTCAAGATCAAAGATGGCAACCACGGCCTTAGTCAGATCTCCCCAGCGAGGGATCTCTGACGCCTCAGGGATCTGGTGACGCCACGCGTCCATCAGGCGACCAAAGCAGCCCTGGGTGGAGTGCGGGCCTCCGCAGTGCTCACCAGCGCGGTCGGCGGAACGGAGGACGTAAGCGCAGGGACCAAAACCCCCACCGCGCTGACACGCAGTGTACCACTCATGAAGCTGCTGAGGGGACAGGGTCACACCACTCCGCTAGTGCTGGTGCGGACCACCACCTGAGCCACTCCTCTGCGCAGAGTCGCGACCCGCTCCACTACCGCCGCCGCCGCCGCCTCCGCCGCCTCCGCCACCTCCTCCACCTCCGCCACCTCTGCCGCCTCCGCTCCCTCCGCCACCTCCACCGCCACCACCTCCTCCACTGCTGCCGCCGCCGCCGCCGCCGCCACCCCCGGCACCACTCCCACCACCACCCCCACCCCCTCCACTGCCTCCACCACCACCTCCACCACCCCCTCCAACCCCTCCAGCGCCCTTGCCCCCCTTGCCCTTGCCGGTGCGGCGTCTCCCGCTCGGGGCAGACGCAGCGCCGACCGACTCGAAACCAACGAGGTCGGCCGCAGCAGCAGAGGCAACAGAGGGCAAGAGGGGGGAGGGAGAACATCCCTCAAAGACGGGGGTGCGAGGGTCACCACGAGAGGCTCCTACAGCGACTATGCTCTTCTCTATCGCTAGGAGGGCCTTCTCGAGGAGGTCAACGGTGAGAGTGGTGGGGCAAACTGAGAGGAAGTGGTCCGTGACTACGCGAAGAGAGTCAGGGAGGCGGGTGACTATGTAGTAGAGGGTGATGTACATGGGGGGGGGGGTTCTTGGCGCAGAACTCAGCAGGAAGCGCAGCGCGGTAGCGAGTGTCACTAGTGCGGAGGTGCGTAATGAGGTCAGCGACTGTGGGAAAGGCAGCAAGGTCAGGGAAGAGGTACGGTAGCATGAGGCGGCTCAATGCGGCAGTGGCAGGGGAAGAGTAGCGTGCAACTACAGCGTCGTACAAGGTCTGGGCACTCTTGTACTGGCTAAAGTGTGCACGCTCAGTGCTTAGTAAGTGGCGGCGAACAGCAAGGCGAGCAGCAGCATCACGTGTGGCCCATTGTGAGCGAACAGTGGCATCAGCATCAGCAGCAGGGGCCAGAGAGGCACCAGAAGTGAGGTCAAATACGGAGAGGCCGTCTGCCCTATCGCACTGTAGGAAAAGTTGCAGATCATCTACCCAGACCTCAAAGTCAACTGCCCGATCCTCAGCGTCAAAGGTGAGAACGCTAGGGGAGGCCATAATAGCAGTAGACAGGCAGTGAGTACAGTGGGGCAGGGCAGTGCAGTGGCAGAGACTCTGCTCTTACCAGGCAAGTGGGGCGGTCGGGCGGCTCGGCGACTCGGCGGTCGGGCGGCTCGGCTGCTCGGCGACTCGGCGGCTCGGCTGTCAGGCGGCTCGGCTGCTGGGCGGCTCGGCGGTCGGGCGGCTTGGCTTCTGGGCGGTTTGGCGGTCGGGCGGCTCGGCTGCTAGGCGGCTCGGCGGTCGGGCGGCTCGGCTGCTGGGCGGCTCAGGCGGCGACGGGGCCGTGGAAGGGCGGCGACGGGGCCGTGGAAGGGCGGCGACAGGGCTGCTGAAAGGGCGGCGACAGGCCGCTGAAAGGGCGGCGACTGGCCGCTGAAAGGGCGGTGACGGGCCAAGGGAAGGGCGGCGACGGGCCGCTGAAAGGGCGGCGACTGGGCCCGCTGAAAGGGCGGGCGGCGGTGGGGCCGCTGAAAGGGCGGGCAACGGGGCCGTTGAAGGGCGGGCGACGGGGCCGCTGTAAGGGCGGGCGGCGACGCCGTGAAAGGGCGGCGATGGGGCCGAAGGGAAGGGCGGCGACGAGGCCGCGTAAGGGGCGGCGCAAAGGGGCCGCAAGGGCGGCGTGACATGGTCCCAAGGGCGGCGTGACGGGGCGTCGTAAGGGGCGGCGCGACGGGGCCGCAAGGGCGGCGCGACGGGGCCGTTAGGGGCTGCTAGAGGCCGCTAGAGGGGAGACGGCTCGGGGCGCGACTCGAGTAGGGGCCGAGCGTGCTCCGGGCAGGGAAAAAAAAGTTTGGTGGGCCCTAGAAACAGTTCCCACGAGGGAACTAGCTCTATACCATGTGAAGAATGAAACAAGAGAATGATTGAACTATGAAAGAGTTGGGTACAAGTACTAACCCTAATTGGGTTGTGCCCCGTATGAGCTACCCCACTATAGCCTACACAAATGTATAAGCTATTATGTTCTGACATACGCGACTCTACCAACACGGGAAGGACAAACCGGACCTTGGGCGCCGTCGTATTTCGTGGAGGTGCCCTAGTATCGCACGTGGGACGTGTGGTGCGCAGGTCTGTGCGCTCGTTTCGAGCCAATCGCGGCTTCGATCGCGGCGCGACAGAAGCTCCGCACTTGGCGCCAACTCGGTTCCGTCCAAGATTACACGAGCGGATTTCTGGCGCTATGCGAGCAGATGGGATATATGCACGAGAGCGAGCGCATCGACCGCTACATTAGCGGCCTGAAGCAGGACATCGCTCAGGAAATCCAGCTTCACGGCGTCACCGACTTTCAAGAAATCCTCGCTATGGCGGAGAAACTCGACTTCTTCCGCCGACCAAGACCGGGGTCCTACGGAAGCAGCCATTGGGGACATCGGCCTCGTGGGACGAACGAGGGCGCCACGATACGTGCCGTCGCCGCAAATGCCGCTCCCGCACCGTTCAAAGGGCGCTGCTTTGCGTGCAATCAGCCGAGACATCGCAAGAGCGAATGCCCGGGAAACGCTAAGGGAAAGGGGGAAGCTGAGAAGCAGAAACAGACCAAGCAGCAAGAAACGCTGGGAGTCAGTAGTAGACGACCCCTCTACTGACAGGTCACGCCGCTCGCCCGACCCAACCGACCCTCACCGAGTGATTGTGCCGGTTCACGCAATCGACCACACTCGGCCGAATAAGGAGGGGACTACGGTAGACAGCCCCATACTACTTAGTGGGAAAATCGGGACGGACTTAGTTAAAATCTTCGTAGACGGGGGAGCTAGCCACGGCCTCATCAATACTGCTACAACACGAAAACTGCGACTGCCACTGGAGAGATGTTTACCTGAGATCGACGCAAGACTGGTAGACGGCACGCCGCTGGCAATACGGGAACGTGTAGACCGGGTTCGGATTCGATGTGGGGGTAACTTCACGTTTAGCTAGGAAATGCTCGCAACGACCCTCGACGGAACCGATGTTTTACTCGCGCGTGATTGGCTGCGACGACACAATCCGCGAATCGACTGGACGACGGGTGACTGCACCGTGCGAGTGAACGGTAACAACATCGCCCTACCTCGCTGGGGCTCGCCTGAGTCTTCGTCGGTGCGTGTCAACGCGATCACAATGAAACGCGCCGTAGCGGCAGGAGCTGACGTGTACGCGGTCGACATTTGGGAAGCCGAGGCTGTCAGAATAATATATAGTTTTATATATTGTTTTGTAACTGCCTGTAGTGTAGATTACTGTAGTTATACAATGTTCTGTTTTGGTGGTGCACCTTTCATTTTGCCTATATGTACTGCTCGCTCTATAGTGAAACCACTTCTTCTCTTCCAATTCCTCGACTCTCAAACTACTCGAACTCAATCAACCAAGGCTCCTAACTAGCTATGGCTCCTTAGCCTAGCTCAAGCCTTGCTAGCATTCACCTACTTATTTTCACAGAGGCAGCAGACAAAGGAGGGGATTTACAGAAACTGCTGGCCGACGTACTGAGTGATCTGGCAGCACTGTTGAAGCAGTACAGCGACATTTTCCCGGACGATTTACCGACGAGACTGCCACCTCAGCGACCGCACGACCACATGATAGAGTTAGAACCGGGGGCACAGCCAACAGTACAGCGACAGTTCCGACTGACCCAGCCCGAACTGGACGAACTGAGGAAGCAGCTCGATTACCTGCTCGAGAAGGAATTCATTCGCCCTAGTTCGTCGCCTTTCGCAGCACCAATACTGTTCACACCAAAAAAAGACGGGGGATTTCGCATGTGCATAGACTACAGAGCACTGAACAGGGCTACCATCAAATCCCGTTACCCCATCCCGCGAGCCGACGACCTGATCGACCAACTGCGCATAGCCCGGGTTTTCTCGAAAATTGACCTCCAAGGGGGTTACCACCAGATTCGCGTCAACCCGCCCGACTGCCCTAAGACCGCATTTCGCACACGCTACGGATCCTTCGAATACACCGTCATGCCCTTCGGACTGACCAACGCCCCCGCCACATTTCAAATGACCATGAATGAAGCTTTCTGCCCGCTCTTAGATAAGTGCATCATAAAAAACATAGACGACATACTGATTTATAGCCCTGACAGAGCACATCACTTACAGGACATCGAAGCAATTTTTAAAATACTGAGTGAGAACCGCCTACTGACAAAAGCGTCTAAGTGTGAATTTTTACAGGACCGCCTGGAGTTTTTGGGACACGTTATTTCAGCTGCAGGAGTGGAAATAGACCTGAAGAAAATTGCGACGATTCAAGCATGGCACGCGCCGACCAACTTGACCGAGTTGCAGAGTTTTTTGGGGTTTGTCAACTACGTGCGCCGCTTTGTCCCCGACACGGCGAAGCTGACTACCCCGTTGACCGGCCTGCTGAGGAAGGGGGTAGAGTACACGTGGGGGGAGAAAGAGCAAGCTTCCTTCTCGGCCCTCAAAAACATTTTGTGCTCACCGCCCGTGCTTCACATCGCCGATCCACACCGTCCGTTCCAGCTCGTCACTAACGCAAGTAACATCGCTGTGGGAGCACTACTGTTGCAGGATTTTGGGAACGGCCTCCAGCCAATCGCGTACGAGTCCCGCAAGCTGCACCCGCCCGAACGCAACTACGCGATACACGACCGCGAAATGTTGGGGATCGTACACGCGTTCAAAGTTTGGCGGTGTTACCTGACTGGCGCCGACAGGACAGTACGGACAGACCATTGATCACTACAGTACCTACCGCCCTACCGCCCAACTCCACGCCATCCTACTCGCCCAGACCAACCCGCTTTTAACAGGCCTATTCACCCATGGATACCGCACCGACCCATTTTTCACGACTGGAAACTCACAGCAGCTGGCAAAAGCTAAAGGAGTTTATTACGTAAAAATAGGCACCAACCACATCTGGGTACCCGCGTACTCGCAACTGAGGGAGCTGCTATTGCCGGAGGCACATGACGGAATGACCTCGGAACATTTTGGGGTAGAAAAAACGCGACAGCAACTGCAGCAATACTACTACTGGCCGGAGCTGTTGACCGACGTACAACAGCACGTGGGCTCGTGCCCCATGTGTCAGGTGATGAAAAGCTCGAGGAAGCCGAAGGCGGGTCAATTGCAGCTGATACCACCGCCCGAGCGCGCCTAGCAGCAGGTTACCATGGACTTTGTTACAGGGTTACCTTCGAACCCAGGGGGTAACAACGCGGTAATGGTCGTGTTGACAGGTTGACAAAGATGGCACACTTCGCTGTGTGCAAAAAGTCGATCTCAGCCGAGGAGACCGCTCGTCTGTTCATCGCAGCCATTGTTCGCCTACACGGGATACCAGCAGCGATTATCAGCGACAGGGACACGAAGTTCACCAGCAACTTCTGGAAAAATCTCTGGGAGCAGTTCGGGACCAGGCTACAGTTCAGTTTGTCGTACCACCCCGAGACCGACGGAGCGGACGAATCAGACGATGGAGCTGCGACGACCCCACGACTTGGGAGCAGCAGCTGTCGCTGATCGAGTTCGCGTACAATTATGCCACGTCAGCGATGACGCACCAGTCCCCCTTCTACCTGAACTAAGGGCAAAATCCTACAGTGCCCATGACGCCGAGTCCGGACAACCCAACACCACGTGCACAGCAATTCGCCGAAATTCTGCAAGCTGCCCGCACCAGAGCCGCAGAAGCAATTAAAAAAGCAATCGTCATCGCTAAGCGCAACGCTGATCGCCACCGCCGCCCAGTCACATACCAATCAGAGGATTACGTACTACTCGACACGCAAAATTTGCGACTGCCCGACGTACCAAAACTTCGACCGCGCTACTGTGGCCCATTCCAAATCAGCCACATGATCACGCCAGTAACCGCGCACCTACTCTTACTGACCGACTGGTACATCAGCCCTTCGTTCCACGTCAGGTTACTTCGCCCCTACATCCCAACCACAAGCCAACTGCCTCGCCACCGCCCGCCATCCATGACTCGCCCTGCATTGGAGCCGATCATTGAGCCCG